TGACGCCGGCTGGTGTAAAAAAAGCAAGTACTGGTTTTCCAGTGGGAATCACCGCTTAGTAGGTGGGCGCTGTCCGTGGTCCTGCACCTTCTCGGATACCTAGACCGCCTCTTGCATCATTGCACCAGGTGCCCAGCGGAGGCCACGCCCATTGGGTTCATTGGATGCCCAACTCTTCCCTAACTCTGATTGGTTGCCCTAAGATCCGCCCTCCTACACCTATCTTCTGACACGCCCAGCTCTCCGCAGGTAATCGCTCACTGATTGGCTGATCCTCCAAGAAGCGCACGTTGTGCAGCGCCTCCCCTTGCTTGGCCCGTAGGTTCTGCAACCAGAAGCGGATGATGCTCTGCCGCTCCTGTGGAGAGATGGGTGTGAGCTTGGTACCTGGGGCCATGGGCACAGAGACATGGGCGCAGGGCGGTCACCTGCGATGTAAAGAAGCGCAGTTCACTCTCCACGTTCTCGTAGATGAAATCCTCTTCACAGGAGAAACTGCGGGTGCCCCCGCCAAACTCGGCCTTCACTGCCTTGCGCAGACCCAGCTCATCGGCCCCCCGGAGCAAACTGTGGACAGGACAGGGCATAGAGGGTTCACCATGGAACCCAAGCTCACCATCACAAAACTAAGGATAATTTACGAGCCACATCTTGGAACAAATGGTTGGTACAGTTGGCCCTCAGAGGGGCAGGGAGCCCAATGACAAGGCCAGAAGGAGGCAGAGGTAGAGAACTTGCCTCTCATATGTGGCTGTGACGAAGAAGGCATAGGCACGTGTGTGGCGGTGGTGGCGAACTTGCACGATCAGCTCGGGGATGCCCACTCGGATGTGATTCAGCAGCCACAGCAGCGTGTGGTCATCAGTGGTGTCTGCCAAGGGGCACAGGGGCCGATAGGTCTGCCCTCGAGAGGGACCCGGGAGGGCCCCCTCCACATTTCTGCCAAAGCCGCAGAGGCTGCATCCAGGCCCAGGGCAGGCAGGTGTGTATACCTGGGAAGGTCATGAGCACGTCACAGTTCTCAGTGGGTACCGTCTTCATCCATGCCTTGTGGGACACCAGGTAGCGGCCAGCCTGCAGGAGCCTCTTCCCAAACAGTTTATCTATGGGGCAACATGGCAGGTGAGGCGGAGATCAGGCATCTCCTGGGACTGATTGGCCCTCACCAGAGCTCTTGCGGGGCCGAGGCCGAGCATCCGCAGCCTGGGCTTGCTCTCTTTTCTCCACATCCCCTGCACCAGCCAGGCCCTTCCCCCTAGGTGCTGCCTTAGAAATCTTACTCATGGTTGAGGCCCAGATGCGCCTCCCAAACCACAATCAATGGGGTGTCCACAGCAGCCTTGAACACTTCTTGGTATGACAGCACGGTCCTTAAAGCAGCCGCAAGAACGGGGTGAAGGAAGTCCTTACCCCCATTTCACAGGTCACCAAACTGAGGCCCAGAGAGTGCACCCAGGCGCTCAAGGTCACCTAACCAAGGTGGGATTCGAACCCAGGACCGTGGAAGTGCATATCTCCCTGTTTCCCTGTGCTGGGAGTCTCCAGATGGCAGGGCTCACACCAGCCAAGCTGGGTCCATCAGAGAGGCGTGTCCACGTCCCCACACCGGGGACCCCCCAGTTGCAGATGCATTGGCCCAACCCCGCTCGCTGCAGCCACAGCGCCACGAGGAGCGGGCCCTGGGCCACACGCCACGCTCTGGATGTGTGACCCCGATCGGCATGCCCTGAAGCCCCGGGGTGCACCCGTGCACCTGTCCCGGTGCCACCCGCAGCTCACGTACCCAGGACTCCAGACGCAGGCGCCGCAGGCTCGCCCTCGGGCGGGGGCCTCTTGCCCCGCTCCCCCTCCAGGGTCGCACCCCCGGCGCCCGAGGCCGCCTCGGCCATGGCAAGGACAGGGCAGGTCAGGGGCTGGGGGACGCCCGGGCGCCGGGGGCCCGCGGGCTCATGGGGACCCGAATGGCACCACTGACCACAGGGGAGGAGGAGACAAAGGCTTCTCTCGCCCGCCCGCGCCGGTCGCAGTCCCTGAGCTTCACTTGCTTGTCGTCCCCGCCCGAGCCAAACCTCGATTCTTCTTCCCAGCCGGCGCGCGTCATTCTCAGTCCCTCAGTCCCGCCTGCCTCCTCTCAGCTTCCTGTCCCCGCCCGTGTTGTTTTCTGTATTTGTTTCCCAGGCCGCCCACTTGGATCTCTGTTGCTTTATCCCCTCCACCCTCACAGTCCTTCAGCCTCCATTTACCCATCTGCAAAGTACAGGACGTCGTGTGGAACCTGACGCCCGTGGTTTTCTTACTGCAGGATGTGGGAGAGGGAGGATCTGGTTGGGTGACATTTCTGAGAACAATACCTCTACCCCAACAGGGCTGTGAGTAATTATAGCAGGTCCAGCCTGCCCCAGGGTTTTTGCAGTATAGTTCACCAGCCTAAAACAGACTTTGCTTTATGCACTCTGCACCCACAACCCTTATTATCTCTACAATATAGCATCCATAAAGGGATCAGGAAGCCTGGCGTTGGTGGCACACACCTTTAATCCCAGCACTCGGGAGGCAGAAGCAGGTGGATCTCTGTGAGTTCAAGGCCAGCCTGGTCTACAGAGCGAGTTCCAGGACAGGCTCCAAAGCTACAGAGAAACCCTGTCTCGAAAAACAAAAAACACCAAACAAACAAACAAAAAAAAAAAAAAAAAAAAAAAAAAAAGGGATCAGGATACATGGTCCCGGTTACCAAATAAATGGCTCAGTGGATAAAGATGCTTGCTGCCAAGTCTGAGACCTAAGTTCATGTCCATGATTCCCATGGTGGAGAGCCAAGGCTCACAAGGACACCCGGCCACACGCTCCACCTCACACAGTGACAATGAAAAAAATAGTCCGGCCAAGGGCTGAGGTATAGATTGGCAGCAGAGACCAGCCTAGCATGCACAAGCTTTGCATTCAGTCTCCAGCGAGGCGGGATGGGGAATGCAGGATGACAGGGTCGGTAGAATCGGACCTGCTTGCACGGAGCTCAGTCCTGTACTCAGGAAGCAGAAAGAGATCCTCAGCATCAGCAACATAGCAAGTTCATGGCCATTCTGGGCTATACGAGACCCTTTCTCAAGAAAAAGTGGGCCAAGCTGGAAGGATGGCCCTGCCATTAGAAGCACTTGAACTCTTCAGAGTACCACAATTCGGTTCCTGGCACTGTGTAACTGCAGCTCCAAGGAACACCACAACCTGTTCCAACCTCTGAATACATCTGACACAGAAAGTACAGGACCCTAAGTAAAAATAAAAAGCAGAACTTAAAAAATAAGGTGGCACACGCCTTTAATCCCAGCACTCGGGAGGCAGAGATAGGTGGATCTCTGTGAGTTTGAGGTCAGCCTTTTCAAAGAGTGAGTTCCAGGACAGCCAGAGCTACACAGAGAAACCCTGGAGGGAGGGGAGGAAGGAGGGAGCCCCTGCCGGGATGGTGGCACACGTCTTTAATCCCAGAAAACCTGTCTCTGAAAGAAAAGAAGAGAAGAAGGGAGGGAAGAAGGGAGGGAGGGGAAAAGGAAGGGAAAGACAGACAGGAAAGAAGGAAGGAAGAGAGAAAGAAAAGGAATGCTGTTTGTCTAGAACTCGCGTGAATGGGTGTGAGGGGATGCTGGGAGGTGGAGCACAGCAAAGTCCTGCTTGCTGGGGAAAGCTCTTTCAGAATCCAAGCCTCTAGGCGGCCTCCCTTTTTTCTGAATCCCCCCCCCCCCGACTTAAAAGAAAAATGTTTGTGAGGCCACGAGTGCTTTGGAGATCAGAGGACAACTTGAAGGGACTGATTTTCTCCCTCCACCATGTGGGTCAGTACCCAGTCTCCCAACTCCTCACAGTCCTGAGTGGCCCACTCTGAAGGACTGTGAACCCAGGCTAGCCAGGGTTGCTTCTCAGTGCCCAGTATGCAAAGGACATTTGCCGTAAACGTGTTAAGAAGGGACCACAGAGATGGACATCGTTACTGTAACTGTTTCACAGACGGCAAAGTAGGGTAGATGACCTGAGGGCTCTGCCACTGTAGCTTGTCCCGCAGCAAGTTCTTAAAGAGCGCCCGCCCGCACCACTCCAGAACCAGAGAATTAGCCGAGCAAGGGCACTCCCGAGGCCCCGCCTCCCCCACCCCACCCCACCCCCTGTGCCTGGAATTCGAGCCTCCGCCTTCATCCCACAATTCTGCGTTGCCCGGGTTAACCTGAAGGTAACCCAAGGAGCCTTTCCGGGAGCCACCGGTACATATCGGACCTGCGGCCGACCGGGGACTCAGAGAGGACAGGGAAGCCAGCACTGGACTGGAGCCTTCTGGAAGGCTTCCTGGAGGAAGAACCAGACCTGGAATGCTTGCCCAGGAGCTGCCGTTGGCAAAACCGGGGAAGTGGGAAGCAGAGAGATCCCGGAAGGGCCAGGAAGAAACTTCCTAAAAACTTTGAACCAGATCATCCCTGGTCTAGCGCGTGGCTTTCCCCGGAATTCATCCACTGCAGTCATTAAAATTCTTTCAGCTTCCGGTCTCTACCTGGGCAGTCTCTCCTTCCATTCCCTCTCCCACACTCCATCTCTCCCTCTCTCGTGCAAGTGTGGAGGTCAGAGGTCAACTTAGAGAAGTCGGCCCGCCTTCTCTAAGTGGGTCCCAGGGAACGAACTCGGGTTTGGCGACAAGCGCCTTTGCTCGCTGACTGTCCTCTCTTGAAAGTGAAAACCGAACACACGTAGCTTTTCGGCTACGGAATGGACACAAGGGAAGGAGACGCGAGCCTCTAATTTCTTCCTCCCACTATTGTCTCGGCTCCCTGCGGCTCTAAGAACCCAAACATTTCCGGGGGACAATCTTGTGCTGCACACACCCTTACTTCGTTTCCCTTGTATCAGCCAATAGAAACCACAGTCTATAGGTCATCCAGTGGTAGTCGCTAAGCGCAGTGGCAGTCACGCCGCGAAGGGGCAGGACTTCCTCCCAGCGCTTGACGCCGCGCAGGAAGGTCGGGCAAGGTGCTTGCGGATTGGAAATCCATGTGGCGCGGGCTAAGCGCGCTAGCGACCCGGGCGGTGCGGGCGCTCGGCAGGTAGGTGGGACCCGTTCTTCCTCCCGGAGCGACCCTGTCCTCCCATGCCTATCCTGCCCATCGGCTTGCCGCAGCGCGCACATCCGGGGTATCCCCCGGCGACGTTCCCTCGGTCCTTGTCGGTTCCGAGGCTCGACGTCCGGGGTGTGCTCACTCATTTGCTCTCCGGTTCCCAGGCCATGCGTACGCCGGAGCAGCGACGCCGGAACCTGGGCTCCCGGAAGCACCATCTTCGCGCTCAGCTCTGGCCAGGGCCGCTGTGCCATCGCGGTGATCCGCACTAGCGGCCCGGCCAGCGCGCTCGCGCTCAGCAGCCTTACGGCGTCCCGGGAGCCGCCTCCGGCCCGCAGCGCCTCCCTGCGCCTTCTTCGCCACCCGCGCTCCGGGGAGCCGCTGGATCGCGCGCTCGTCCTCTGGTTCCCAGGTGAGGACCCCGATCTAGAAACCCACAGTGCTAGTGACCCGGTGTCAGTCGCCTCCAGGAGTCGGCCCCGGGCCGTGCCCATCGTCTAACTCTGCTCTTTGCCATAAAGGCCCCCAGAGTTTCACGGGTGAGGATTGCGTGGAGTTGCACGTGCACGGAGGCCCCGCGGTGGTCAGCGGCGTCCTGCAGGCATTGGGTGAGACTCTGTTAGGTGACACTGTTCCTGGGAAGACTGCGAGGTCTCGGATGTAGGCTGCAAGGCAGATTGTCATTTGGGGGAATAGAGTTATCATACTGACTTGGGCCTTCTAGATGGCTGGCCCAGTAAAGGCGATTGTTGCCAAGACTGAGCTGAGTTCCAATCCCAGAATCCCCGTGGTGAGAGAATTGATTCATGAGAACTGTCTTCTGACTTCCTGGTGTGTTGCAGCACAAACGCGCGCGCGGGCGCGCACACACATACACACACATATACGATTAATGCTGTAGACAGACTGCAGCATTGGGAGGCCTTCGAGGACAGCTCAGGCTCAAGAGCAGGGTGTGTGTGGTGCTAGGTCCTATGCAGGGAGTTGATTGAGTAGCGCAGTACCAGCTTACAGCCAGTCTGCCTTCGATCCCTAGGTGGTGGGGACAGGGGAAGGTCTTGTGTGTCCATAAAATCGGTTTGCCACAGAAAATCGCTGATGGTTAGTTACCAGTCTCAGTCCAGGCCTGTGTGGGAGGGGCAGCTGCAGGTGACCTGAGTAGCAGCTGGCTACTACTGGGTTCTAACCCCGGGCGGGCACCTGGGTCAGACCCAAGTAACTGGTCCATCAGAGTCCAGCCCGGGGCACCAGTGAACTCCCTGGTATTCCTTATAGTAGAGGGGTGGGGACAGGGGAGGCACCAACTACTCTGCTGTGCTGCCTCAAAACCCAGCTAGGGTTTGGGTTTGTTACCTCATCGTCTGGCCAAGGGCAGGTGGGGTCCAACGGCAGATGGCTTTCAGGTAGTGTGCCAGGACTACGGCCAGCTGAGGCTGGGGAGTTCACCAGGAGGGCATTTGCCCACGGAAAGCTGAGCCTGACTGAGGTGGAAGGACTGGCGGATCTGATCCACGCAGAAACTGAAGCCCAGCGTCGTCAGGCGCTGAGACAGATGGATGGGGAGCTGGGCCAACTGTGTCAAGACTGGGCCAATATCCTCACCAAGGCAAGACCCACTTGCTCACCCACCCATCCCTTCTTTAGAGAAAGCTCTAGGCCCATGAGATGCCAGTCTGATCACACACGTCAAGCTGGAGCAACCATGATATCTTCCCATCCTCCCAGGCTCTGGCCCACGTAGAGGCCTATATTGACTTCGGAGAGGATGACAATTTGGAAGAGGGTGTGTTAGAGCAGGGTATGTCTGCCTTTGGGGGCGGGGCTGGCATCTCAGCCCCCCTGAGATCCTCCTGATTGCCTCTCCTCTGCCTACCTTCTCCCTCTCACAGTGGATAGAGACATCCGAGCCCTGGAGACTGCCCTGGGTTCCCATCTTCGAGATGCCAGGCGTGGTCAGAGGCTGCGTTCAGGGGCACATGTTGTGGTGACTGGACCCCCCAATGCCGGCAAGAGCAGTCTGGTGAATCTGCTCAGTATGTGGAATTGGGCAAGGGTGGGCAGGGGTAAATCCTAAAGTGGGGGCTCTTACCTCCACGTCCCTTACCCTTCAGGCCAGAAACCTGTATCCATCGTGTCCCCAGAGCCAGGGACCACTCGTGATGTGCTGGAGACCCCTGTGGACCTGGCTGGGTTCCCTGTGTTACTGAGTGACACTGCTGGGCTTCGGGAAGGTGTGGGCGCGGTTGAACAGGAGGGTGTGCGCAGGGCTCGCCAGAGGTGTGTGCAGGTCTGCAGACAAGGTGACCTAGGCCCTTTTTCTCCTCTTGAGTCTATTTCATAATTATCCCTGAAATAAAAGACTTTGAGCTCTCTCAGTGTTGGGGGTATAGGGACCTGGCTGGTGTTGCTTATTTTCCTCCACTCCCTAAGCTTTGTTTGGTCATGCCCCCTCCAGGGCCATCTCCCTCTGTCCAACCCTATCAGCTACACCACTGGACCTCTTCTTCATCAAAATCTCTGACCTTCAGGTCCTCTTCTGCGCCCACCCACTCTCCCTTGCCATGCCCCCAACATTTCCTACCATACTGTTTCACTGGAGCCATTGCCAGTACCTCTAGCCAAGCCTCAATTCCTCTTGCTGTGTCCAGACCTGGCCAAGCGTCTGGCTCTGTCCTGGCTTTTGCTTTGGGTCATCCCCTGCAGTGTCTGTCCCTCTTCTGCTCAACACCCACAGTGCCCTCCCAGGTTGACTATGCCCCACAAAATGGCTACCTTCCTTCCCAGGTTGGAACAGGCTGACATCGTCCTGGGGGTACTGGATGCCTCTGACCTGACCTCCCCCTCCAGCTGCAGCTTCCTGGACACTGTAGTGACCCCACTGGTAGCACAGAGCCCTGACCGTGTCGTACAGCGCCTCCTGCTGCTCCTCAACAAATCGGACCTGCTTCCCACTAGTGCCCTGACCAGTGACAACACTCTCTTAGGGATACCACACCTGTCGCTGTCCTGCCGCACTGGAGATGGGCTAGAGGGCCTCCTGCAGGCCCTGAAGACTGAGCTGGCTGCTGTGTGAGTCCCCCTCGGCCTTTCCCAGCTCCCCTGACCCAAGTTCAGATGTAGGCAGAGCTGCTGGATTTGTGCTCAGTCCTGTCCCTCAGCCTCAGTTTCTTTCTCTCTGCAAAAGGGGTACAGTGGGGGACCCTGTTCAAAAGGTAGCTTCACAGATTGAGACACTAGGTTTGGTTTCTGGCAGGTGTGGGGACCCATCTACAGGACCACCACTCCTGACCCGAGCTAGGCACCAGTACCATCTTCAGAGCTGCCTGGATGCCCTGAGCCACTACCAGCCCGCCACAGATCTGGCGCTGTCAGCCGAGGCCCTGCGCCTGGCTCGCAGGCACCTGAGCCACCTCTCGGGTAGAGGAGGCACCACAGAGGTCCTAGACCTCATCTTCCGGGACTTTTGTGTGGGCAAGTGAGGGCCAGAGCCCAGGAATCGGGCCCACAGAATTCCACCAGATCTTGATCTAAAATGGCAGCAGAGGGCAGGATCCACAGCCCTCAGGCCTGTTCCCTCCACAATGAACAGAGATAGGCCAGGTATACCAGAATGGCTACCCCCTGGCTACTGAGATTAAGGCCTACATCACCATGCCAGGTATATGTAGTGCTGAAGGTGAAACCCTTGCAGGGTTTTTGTTTTGTTTTGTTTTTTAAGTACCAAAGGAATATGAGGAGTTCGGGTGATCCAGAAATGTTTGTTCTCAAATACCAGCCAGGGTTCCCTTCCACAAGTTTGCCTGTGTGTTTTTTCTCTGTGGCGTCATGTCACTCAAATATATTTATTTATTTTTACTTCTGTAGTAGCATACATATTATCTGTAATACGTTTGCTGTGGCATTTTCATCCGAGGATCTAATGTGGCCTGATTGTGCTGAGTCCCTTCTTTTTCCTAAATCACCCTGTCTGGGATTTCTCTGACGTTTGACTACACCATTAAAGAAAATATCCCTGTGCCGCCCTCCACCCCTCCCCCAGGCCTTTCACTGCCTGTCAGTCTTCCTGCCCACAAGGCCCCACCTCCTCCTGGACAGAGTGTGAGGTCTTGTGTGAGTGCAAAGATGCCACCTGTGGCCCTGTCATGCCCAGAAATTGCCCAATCCTGGCTCCTGCATACCCAGTTTCATTTCCCCAAGACCAGGAACGATGGGGTCAGCCCGGTTTACCGCTGTACGCACCGCAGTTTCTGCAGTGCAAAAAGTGGCTGCACGGTACACATGGGGAGATCAGAGGACAACTTGCAGGAGTCCTCTGCGATGGTAATGTGGTCCTCGGGTGAACATCAGGCTTGGCAGCAACATTTAATTAATGTGTGTGTGTGCAGTGTGGGAGTTTGGGAACTGGGAACCAAACCCAAGTCCTCTTAGGTTGCAAGTGTTTTATCTGCAGAGCCAGCCCCTTATCAGATGTTTTTATTTTATTTGTATTTAGTTTTTGAGATGAGGTTTTATTTTCTAGATGGTGCTGGCCTCAAAGTCACAAGGATCCTCAGCGGTACACCCTCAGGCTGGGCACAAATATTCCCAATTTACAGATCAGAAAAGGGAGGTTCCGAGAAATGGCCTCGGGCTTTGGGATTGAGCAGTCAGTTGCACCCCACATTGAACTTTGTCAGGACCTTCTGTGACAGGCAACTTTGTAGGGTGCTGGGGACAGCACTTGGATCTCCTGGCATGGCTACAAGGAGACCTGACTTGTTAGGGACTTGGGATAGACCCTGCAGAGACTACATCTGTGCTGGGGCCGCGAGGTGGAAACAGTGAGGCGGGACCTCCTGGTGGTAGCGGCAACCGGCCAGAAGAGGGCGAGCGTTCCTAGCGTATCCCCCAGCTGTACCCATCAATGAGGATGCCTGTCGTTTCAAGGCTTGTTACAAACCAAGCTGGGTTACAAAGTCAGATCCTGCCTTGAACAGGGGAAGGGTCCTACGGCTCCCAGGAGGAGCTGTGGCGCCTCGCGCTGGGCGGGGCCGGACCTCTGGGCAGTTGGCCCGCTGTGGGCCGCCTACCTTGGGCCTGGCACACAGCTGTGTGGAGGCCTTGGCCGCTGTCCCTTTTTTCCAAGAAGGGTGAGGAGTTTGTGGGAAGCGGCGGGGGGTTATTTATAGAGGGCGCAGGAAATCCCCAAAGAGTCAGGGCCTCACCCAGCGGAGGCGGCTGCTACAGGGCACTGGGCCCCCTTCCGCCAAGGAGCACTGCCTGGGGCCTGGGAGCCCGGATGGGGCTGGGGGCCCATGGGACAAGGGCTATACCTGGAGGAAGGGTCTGGGCCAGTGCCTGCCCCGTAGTGTTTGTGTGTGTCACACTGTTCACATGTGGACGTGCAGGTCCAAGTGGACATGCAGGCCAGAGGCAGTCACAGGTGAAGCCTTATAGGCCAAATCTCAGAACTGGTGGTCAGAGCTCAGCACCCTCCCATCTCACCTGCAGCCACTGTGGAGGGTGTTGCAGATGTACTGGTCACCCTAGCTTTTATGTGGGTGCTGGGACTGGGTCACAGTCCCTCTTGCCTGAGCAGCAAGTGCTCTCAGCCATCAAGACCTGGTCTTGAACAGAGAAGTTTCTCAGGCAAGGAAAAGTATTGCCAGACATGTTAGTATACTCGTGGTCCCAACAATGTGGAGGCTGAGGCAGGACTGCTACAAAAGGTCAGCTCCATCGGTGTCCGGACAGTCTAGAAGGAAATGGGCTAGCCAGGTGTGGTGACCCATGTCTTCAATCCAACACTTGGGGAGGCAGAGGCAGGAGGATCTCTGAGTTAGAGGCCAGCCTGGGTTACATAATGAGACTCTAGCCTCAAAAGAAAAGAAACAAACCAAGCGAATGAGCTTGCTCATCTTTAAATCCTGACCAGAACTTCAGAGAGCAGACAGGGCTGCACCAGTTCTGTGAGCTGACAAAGGGCTAAGAAACTAGAGTTTGTCAAGTAATGGGTAGCTATGGAGGATGTGAGCAACAGGCTCCATGATGGAAAGACAGACCGCCGTGGACCACTACAGGAGCCTATTGAGGCAGTGGCTGGGGAACAACGGGCTTTTTGCTTTCTTTTATAGGGTCTCACATCAGCAATATAGCCTGTGTGCCTGAAATGTTTTACACATTACAGCTGTTACTGTGATTTAGGTGGTTTTGCTGTGTGTCCCAGGCTGGCCAGAAACTCTTGGGCAACCCTCCTTCAGTCTTCCAAGCAGCCGAGGTTACAGATTTGGGACATGGTGTCTCAGAAGAGGAAATAGGCTGAGTCGGAGTGAGATTCGCACCCAGGAGTGTGGTTATCAGATCTTAAGCAGGCTCTCCGTGATCACTTCATCCCAAGGCTCAGGCTCAGGGCCAGGGACATCCCCAGTTCCTTGGGGCCTCCAGTCAGGCTGTCCAGGCAGCCTCCCAAGCTGACCCCTGGTGGCCCTGTTGGCCGAGCCCCAGCCAAGTGTTTCCTGCAGTGACAGGCTCTCGCCCATGTTTCCGGATCCAGGAAATATCACAGCTTTGTCCCGGAGGAGCAGTGACAGAGTGTGGCACTGCCGGCCTTGTGATTCATCCCCGGCTCCCGCCCAGGCCAGTGCTGGGGGAGCAGCCAGCTCCTCCTGAGCACGTCTCAGCCCTTTTCCCTTGATGGCTCCTGCTTGCTGCAGGGTTGGGGCTGTCCTTGCACTTCAGTCCGCAGCCTCAGCCCTGCACCCCCGCCAGTGCTCACAGGTCTGCCCCACCGTGCTCGGCTTAATTCTGTTACCTGTCTAACATTGTTTCCTTAGGGCCACATTTCGTTTTGCAACTGAACCAATCCTGAGGAAATGTTCCTTTCAATGTCTGCAACAGTAGTAGGTAGCATGACTTTTACTTTTTATTTATTTTTGATGATTAAAACCGTCTCCTGTAGCTCAGGCTGGCCTTTAAGTCCTGACTCTCCTGCCTCAGCCTCCTTCGTGCTGGTACAGTAAATGTGTGCTGCCACACCCAGTGTATATGGTGCTGGAAATGGAGCTGAGGGCTCCACCCAAGCACCATACACTAGCATGCCAGTAACTGAGCTGCAAGCACTCTACCCTCAGAGCTACCACACTCCACTCTCGAAGCTGCCACATTCTACTCCCTGGGCTACCACACCCTACCCACTGAGCTGCCACACTCTACCCTCAGAGCTGCCATGCTTCACCACTGAGCTGCAAGCCCTCTACCTCTGAGCTACAAGTTGTACCCACGGATCACAGGACTGGGCTGAAAGGTGCATGCCACCACAGCTGGCAGCCTATCCATTTAAAGCTTTACTGTTCTACTTTATGTTCTACTTTATGAGTGCACTCTCTCTGCTGCCTTTGGAGGGCAAGAGAGGATGCCAACCTGGCAGGAAGGTTGGGAGCTGCTGTGTGGGTGCTGAGAACCAAATTTGGGTTCTTTCCAAGAGCAGTCAGTGCCCTAAACTGCCAAGCCTCGTCTCTGCTCAGCACACAGCAGTCATCCCTCGGGAGGCTGACACAGTTGAAGGCCAACCATAGTGAGACCTTGTTTACAGATAAGTAACAATAATCAGCAGAAATCAGCCTTCAAGGGACTCCATGATATTTATTATGTGCCACTATATATTTAAGGGATACAAGCAAGGCAGTGTGGGGAAGCTCCCCTCCAGGCTCTGTGAGATACATGGGGACCCTCACTGGCTGTCCAGGTCCTGGAGACCCTGGAAAAGGGTTTAAAACCTAATGAAAGTTATGTTTCTAGGGGCCTCAAAACACAAGGGAAGCTGGAGCTGAGGCCAGGTTTCCTGTTCTGACCTCTAGGGTCAGGTACCCAGTGGTAACAAAGCTGGAGGAGGTTCCTGTGGTGGGAGCTGAGCTGTGGGTGCTTCATGGGCGGGTGGGGTTCCATTTTGGTCACCCCACAGCTGCATATGCCTTAAACCCAGTGTCTAGGAGATGGTGGAGAGCAGAGGGCAGTAATGGGCGCAGATGGGCATAGGGATGGAGATTGCTGGCCATGGGGTACAGCACGTGTCCAACACATTGGGCATCTGGCTGCCACCATCCACAGAGGAGCATTCTCGTGCCCAGGGTCCTGCAGCAGCTGCTTCCTCAACCACTGGGGAAGGAAGAGGCCAAAAGCACAGCAGTCAACAGGGGCTGGGGAGCAGAGGCTGGACCACAGCAGGGGAATGACACTGCTCCAGGTTAGACCCAAGCTCCTCAAGCTCCTGAGTTTTGTCTCTGCACAGATGAGAGACTAGGGTTCCGAGGGGCCCACAAGGTCCTAGATACCTGAAGCCTGGGTCTCCATGTGTAGTGCAGGCTGGCTTCAGACTCAGTCCTCCTGCCTCAGCTTCCTGCATCCTAGGGTTCTGCTTTTCTCTCTTTTGTTCACTCACTGTGAGACACATGCCCCACACATGCACCCTCAGGACCAACAAAGCCCACAGCTTCAGAGGCTGACACCAGGGTCCATCCTCCTGCCTTCCCCCAGCAGGGACAACCCCACCCAGTGCCAACAATTCTGAGAGGGTTCCGCCCATCCTCCACTGCATCTCTGGGTCTGGAATGCCCTCCCCCTCTGCCTGGCAGAGGAGCTCTGGTAGGGTCAGAGGTGGCGCTGAGGCGCTTCCTGGTGGGGAGGGGGGTCTGCAGCTGAGTCTGGCTTCCTCTCCCCCTCCCTTCCTTCCCCAGCTCTTCCCTGGGGCCCCTGGCCTCATGCTCTGGCTGGCTCTGGTCACCTCCCAGGCTCCAGCTGCAATCCCATCTCACACTGCCTGGTGACCTCTCCTCTTGCCCAGGTCACTTCCCCCAAACCAATCAGAGTGAACGGTCCAGCCCTGATGCTGGTTGTAGCCTCTGGGACCCCAAGTCCTTGACTTGAGAGGGCCCTGATCTTGACATCTCGCTGTACTTCCCTGGATCACTTCCTCCCAGGCATACTACCCAGAGCCCCATTCCTCCCTGCCTAGGTCCCTGTGGGACATTCCAGTAGAGTTTGTGTCTTCCCACAACGTTGGAAGTTAAGGAAAAAATAATAAAATCACAGGCCAGTGAGCGGGCACAGCAGGTGAAGGTGCTTGCTGCCAAGTCTGAAGATCTGAATTTGATCCCTAGGAGCCATGGTGGAAGGAGAGAACCAACTGCTACATGCTGTCCTATCTCTACACATGTGTTTTGGCCAGGCGGTGGTGGTCCATGCCCTAATCCTAGCACTCAGGAGGCTGAGGCAGGCAGAGCTCTGTGAGTTCGAGACCAGTCTGGTCTACAGAGCAAGTTCCAGGACAGTCTCCAAAGCCACAGAGAAACCCTGCCTTGAAAAACAAAAATGTGCACATGTATCATCAGTCACTGTAAAAAAAAAAAATTATGAAAAACCTCACAAGACATATGTTTCCATGTCACCAGATACTTGGCTACTATATTCATAGGTTTTCAGGTCTATCTTCCTTTGTTTTTGAAACAGGGACTCAACTGTGGAGACCACACTGGCCTCGAATATTCAGAGATCCCCCTGCCTCTGCAGCCAGGATACTGAGATAACACACAGGTCATCACACTGGTACAAATAAGAAGTCTCCAGAGTGAATGCCTTGAAAGGGGCAACTAGGAATTGGAAGCTGGGGGGTGGGGGCAGAAGAGTGGCAATGTGGGGCCCTGGGCCATTTCCTGAGGCTCCTCGGGTGTTAGGTATCAGGCTGCTACTACAGTCTGACTCAGCTGGTCTCATCTGGTCCCCTCCTGACTGTTCCTCGGTCTGTGTCACCCTGCCTCTGAACTCCTTGGGGCTGTGAGACCTGAGTATCAGGACTTAAAATGCAGAGGAGGCAGGAAGGCCAGGAGTTCAAGGCCAGCCTCAGCTACATGGGAGTTTGAGGCCAGCCTGGGCTTCATGAGACCTTTTCTCAACCTTCTCTCCCTCATCAAAAGAAAAACAACAAAAACCAAATGAAGACACTTGCCAAGCCCTGATGACCTGAGTTCAATCCCCAAGACCCACAAAGTAGGAGACGACTAACAAGGCATCCATGTGCTATGGCTTTCACATGCACATACAAGTAAATCTGAGGGTAATTTTTAAATACAAGGAGGAACAATTGTTTTGATCGATGCAACCATGTTTGCCCCCCCCCCATCTATAAACAGGGTGGAGGAGATGGCTCTGTAGGAAAGAGCCATTATTTCAACAGCATGGGGACTTGAACTGGTATCCTTGGGACCCAATTAAAAAGCCCAGTGCTGGCCAGGCATGATGGAGTACACCCTTAATCCCAGACCTTGGAGGCAGAGGCTGGAGGATCTCTGTGAGTTTGAGGCCAGCCTGGTCTACATAATGAGACCTTGTCTCAAAGAAACAAAAATAAATTAATAAAAATAACAGTAACAAAAAGCAGCTGTAAGTGACCCCAGTGCCTGGAGGAAGATGTGGCTGGGGCCCAAGTAGCTTCAGGTTCAGTGAGAGGACCTGGTTTCATGAGTGTTAGCTGAACAATGACACCATTGTCCTCCTCTGGCTTCCACAAGCATGTGGCACACAGGCCACACACCATACACATTTAGATGCTGAAATATTTTCTTTTAAAAATTGGTGTGGAGGACCAAGCTGGGTGGGTGAGAGCACTTGCTGGCCCTGAACAGGACCTGGCTTCAGTTCTCAGCACCCACATGTGTAAGAGTATGTTTTTTCCTCCTGCCGCTGGTTTTGTCCCGCCGCTGCGCCAGCCCCAAAACACATGGTAACTAAAAATTACTTGAAACTCTAGTTCCTGGGGACCTGATACCCTCATCTAGCACCAGGCATGTGACGCACAGGCAGACACGCAGAAAACACTCATATACATAAAATAAAGATAAATAACTAAAGAGCAGGCCAGCCTGGTATATACAGTGAGATCCTGTCTCAAAATAATGAAACTAATTAATTAAGTGACGATAAAGTTGGATGTGGGGATAAGTCAACCCAGACTTATTTAATTTTTTTTTTCTTTTTTGGCAGTCTCTCTCTGTGTAGCCCTGGCTGTCCTGAAACTCACTCTGTAGACCAGGATGGCTTGGAACTCAGGGAGATCCAGCTGCCTGGGCCTCCCAAGTGCTGGGGTTAAAGGTGTGCATCACCACACCAGCCACTTCAGACTTTCAAGGTTGATGAAGGAGGTCCTGAGTTTGGGACCAGCAAGGCAATGTCTCAAAAGAAAACAAGCATTTGGAGATGTGCATCTACCCAGCAAATGTGAAAACAAGGCGGGGAGGAATGGGAGGTGCAGACAAGGAAGGATGGGGAGAAATAAGGCTGGACAGTGAGGAAGGAGCCCCTTGAGGCCCAGTCCCTGGAGAAGGCACTTCCTGGCACCCTGAAGGCTGGGGGGGTGGGGGTGGGCTGAGCGAGAATAGTCCATTGTCCCTCAACACAGGCGTCATTCAAGGTAAACAATGTTGAAAGCTTCCCCAGGTTCTCAACTGAGACCTGAAGGTCCTGGGTGTGGACTCTAGCTAAGGCCTCAGTTTCCTCCTCTGAGAAGTGGGAATCAGAACAGAAACATCCTAGCCAAGATGGACAGGGTGGGAGGGTGGGGGTAGCTTGCCAGGAGGCAGGGCTGACTTTTGTCTCTATTCATCCTTTTCAATAGTTTCTTTCCTTTCTCCCTTTCCTCCCTTTCTTTAAAAAAAAAAAAAAAAAGTATTCAGTAGTCTTGAACTTGCAATCCCCTACCTCAGCCTTGCAAGTGCTGGGCTCACGGGCCAGCACCACCAAGGCCAACTACTCACTGTCCTACCTTTTTGCAGGATAGTCTGGAGCTGGAGGCCAACCCATGCTACCTATATTAGACACAACCTCAAAAACAAGCAGCTCACTGCAGCTGGATGGACAGCTTTGCAGTGAGTCTGCTGCCCCTTGTGAGGACAGGAGTCCAGCGCCCTCCTGCACATGCAGATAGAAGTAAAATAGCCATGTGGTAGTGTGCACCAGTAGGATTTGCTGAAAGAGGCACAAGGACTGAGTGTGAGCACAGCCTGGGCTACATATGGGAAAGGGTGAGGTGTCACACACCTTTAATCCCAGCACTCAGGAGGCAGAGGCAGGTGGATCTCTATGAGTTCTAGGCTAGCCTGGGCTACAGAGTGAGTTCCAGGACAGCCAGGGCTACACAGAGAAATACTGTCTCAAAAAATAAAAACAAACAACCTAACCCCAGAATGATCTCTGGAACTAACTCCCTTATAGCTCACCACCAAGAGGCCGTGAGAGGCAGACACAGGTCTTGCCACCATGTGATGGCTCAGGAGTTGGAATCCTGAGTTGGAAATTCCAGAGACTGTGGCTGGAGAGATGGCTCCGTGGTTAAAAGCATTGGCTGCTCTTTCAGAGGACCTAGGTTCAATTCCCAGCACCCACATGGCAGCTCACAACTGTCTGTAATAGATTCTGATGCCTTGTTCTTGTGCAAGCAAACATGTGGACATTGTAGTCCCAAAGACTGCCCAAGTCTTGGAACCTGTTCAGGCATGAGATTCCTTGGTAGCTCAGGTTAGCCTTGAACTTTTAATCCTCCTCTCCTCAGCCTCCTGAGTGCTGAGATTATAGGTGGGTGAAGGACTTGGTCATGTGACCTGAACCAACCTGAACCTGAGTGGCCTGGGCTCTACAGGGGACAGCCCTGAGCCACCTTCCCTATGACACATACACATGGTGTCTCCAGTGGATGACTGGGCTGGTAATCCAGCCAGGGCTGTGGGTGTTGGGCCAGATGCCCCAGGCGTGCTCCAAGGACAGTCTGGCACCTGTTTGGACAGTTACCATTTGGCAGCCTTCATCTTCAATGGCCTTTCATTAGAGAAGGGGCTCATGCTGTGGCCTGGGTCCCCCACTCCGGCTCAGGTGTCTATTTATTTTTATTGTGCGTGGGGTGCACCTATGCCATGGCTAGAGTGTGGAGACAACTTTCAGGAGTCTGTTCTCTACTCCCACTGGGTAGGTCTCAGGGGTGGGACTTGGGCTCTCAGGCTTAGCAGCAAACTCCTCTACCAGCTGAGCCTTCTCACCAGCCCAATTTCCATTCTGTAAAAGTGAACAGCGAGGCTCTAGGGTAGGCAGAGAGCTCAGTGAAGGTCTGCGGTGGGGCTTTCAACCCAGACCACAGGTAAGAAAGCTGTGGGTGCATTTGTACAGAAGTGGGGGAGATGGCAGCTTTCAGGCTTTCAGGCCAGTCACCAAGGCCAGTGACAAACCTGGGTCAAAATCCATGGTGGCTGGCTGTGATAGCACACAACTTTAATCGCAGCACTCAGGACCAGATCTGAGTTCTAGGTTAGTCTGGCCTACATATAGAGAACCTGCCTCAAGAAAACAACAAAAACCATGGTGGGTGGGCCATCAGAGACATGTAAAGTGTTTGCCATCAGGCCTGGGGATCCAAGTTCAATCCCCAGGACCCATGTGGCCATGTGGTCATCTGAGCCACGGCACATGCTTGTTCACATATAGAGTAAACAAAAAGGGAAAAGTAAAACCACAAGGGATGACTATGAGAAACTGTAGCCAGGATTGGGGTGTGGCCTGTGCCTTCACATACACATACAGGGTACCCCTGACAAGACTCAGAGGCACACCACACAGTCTCCACTCCATGGACCTAGTCCATGCCCCAGCCGTTGAGCTGACTGTTCCCTGTGGCTGACACCTTGTATCCTCCAGCTCACAGGATCCCCCTCCTTCCAGATCCCCACCTTGCCTGTCACTTTGGTATACTTGCCATGCCCTAGTATATACAGCAGGAGTTCCATTCTGTCTCCCTCCTCCTCGAGCCCTGATAGGACTTCCTTTATCTACACCTCAGTCGGTTTGCATCTCACCTGGGTGGGACTGCAGGGTTGACTAACGGGAGACGCTGGGACTCCAGGATTCTTTTCTTGAATTCCTCCAGGCTAGCAGGATCTATAGGAAAAATGAAGGTTCGTGTAAGCAGCCTAGGAGAGGCAAGCTGGAGTGGGGACCAGTGGCCCCCTTCTGGGCCCTTCTGGCTGTCACTCACCTATGGGTGGAGGAGGGACTGGGCCCGAGGAGTGTCTTGGTGGGATGGCTGGCTGAGACTGTAGAAAGAGCAGGAGAGGTTGGAGGCGCGGGTTCCCTCTGTGTCCTACAAATGCCTAAGTGATCTAGCTGGGTGATTTTTGTGTTGGCCTCTTTATGTAACCATGGCTAACCTGGAACTCACTGTTTAGACCAGGCTGGCCTCCAACTCACAGAGGCCCTTCTGCCCCTGAATGCCGAGGCTGGAATTAGAGATTGTGTTACCATTCCTGGCCCAAGAAACTTAGATCCTAACCCCAAGGAACGAATCTGAGGCAGGAAATTGAGGCCACCACAGCCCCGACATCACCTGTAACCATCACCCGTATTTTTAGTCCTTCAACTGAACTCAAATCCACTCCAAACCGGATTCCCACCATCCCACCAGAGTGAAGTCCACCTAGCCCTAGCCCTGGCCCAGCTTCCCTCCTTCAGTGGCATCCTCCGGCCTCAGCTCCCACACCACCCTCCAGGTTGACCCTTCCAGGACCCCAGACTGCACCCAGAATATCCAGGCCCGCCCACCTTGGCCTTGAGACAGGCATCCAGCGCACTGATCCGTACATCCACCTCGGTACGCAGCTGCTCCAGCTCGCGCTTGCGCGCCTCTAGATCGCGCTCCAGGCCGTCCCGCTGCGCGCGCAGCGCCGCCTTCTCCTCCAGTGCCAGCTGTGTCTGGCGCGCGCACTCCGCGCGCAGCTGGCTCTCGCGTGCCTGCGCCTCGGCCTCGGCGCGTGCCCGCGCTTCCTGCGTGCCCTGCGCCCCACGCTCCATGTCCAGCTTCTGTCGCCGCAGCTCCGCGTTCTCGCGGGTCACGCGCTCGATGCCCATGCGCAGCCCGCGCGCCAGCTCTTCCACCTTAGAGCTCATGATCCCCGGCAGGTGCTCACACATTCGGCGGAGAGACCCTATCTCGGGCACTAGCGAGGGGTAGTGGTAGCCCAGGTTATCCAGGGAGCGCTGGATCAGCGAGTCCCGCCACACGCTCAGCGCGTCCGCCTGGAACTTGTCCTGGTCCAGCGGGAGGCACATTGCCTGCACCTTCTGCAACTGCTCCTGGGTCACCTGCTGCTCCTGCTGCTGCCGCTCCAGTGCTTTGCCACAGACCGCCAGCTGCTCCTCCGACTGTCGCTTTCCCGCAAGCAGGCTTTCCTTGTCCTTGGTGCACACCGCCTTCTCCTTGGCCACCTCCATCTCCAACGTCTTAGCCTTCTCGCCCAGCTTGAAGAGCAAGGCTGCAGGGCGGGAGCGGGGAGGGTTGAGCCCAGGCTGGCCCATGAGCTGCATGGTCCTGCTTCTTCCTCCCCTCGCCCCAACCATGACCCGCATTTACCTTCGCAGGTTTTGTTGTTCTCCTTCAGCTGTTCCCAGCACTGCTTCTCACTCAGGATGATAGCGACCATGAACCGATGATAGTTAATGTAGGTGATCTGAAGGTGTGGACAAACAACACAGCTCAGCACCAATCTCCCCGGCTGTGCACACAGCCTTGACACCTGTAGAAGGCTGTGCAAATGAGTGACCTCCAAAAGTTTGACTAGTTGGTAAAGTGCTTGCCTAAGATGCCCTGGGTTCAAACCCCTCATAAACCAGGTGTGGCGGCTTTCACCTGTTAACCTCAGTACTCGGAAGGCTGAAGTAGGGCCAGGAGTTAGAGACCAGCCCAGATCACAGAGGAAAACTGGCTGGCTTTGTTTTTTGAGATGGAGTGTGTAGTCCTGGCTGTCCTGGGACTCCCTATATAAACCAGGCTGCCATCCAACTCAAAGATCCTCCTGCCTCTGCCTCTCAAGTGCTAGGGTTAAAGGTGAGTGCTACCATGCTGGGAAAGACAGAGGCTGGGTCTGGGGCTCAGGTGCTAGAGTGCCAGCCTAGGAAACACAAGGCCCTGGGATTTGTGCCTACCACCACAAAAGCAAGATGGTATGTGCCTGTCATTCCAGATAGGAGAATATTGTAAATTCAAGGTCATCCTGGGCTACCTAGGAAGAGTTAAGTTTATCTCAAAACAAAACCAAAGAGTGGATGGGGGGAGAGTGGCAGAAAAATCACATTTCTTTGTGTTTGGAGGAGTGGGGGACAAGACAGAAACTACTAGGGTGTGACTCAGGTGGCTCCTGTCCACCCACCATGGGGTGTCCTAGGGTGGTCATGTAGCCCAGGCTGGATATTTAACAATGTAGATCCAGGGCTAGGGTGTGATATGGTTATAGTGTACATACTTAGCAAGGAAGATGTTCTGGTTAGGGTCAAGCTCCAGGAACCATAAATAAATTAAGTGAAAATTAAAACCCAGAAACCTGGGTGCCATTTTCTCCAACAAGGAAGAGTGGGAAAACAGGTGGGTATATGTGTGTCTGCGATGATCTATGTGTAAGTGTGTCTGCCATGATCTTCCCTGGGGGTGGTAAGTGTAAGTGTGTTGCAATGATCTACCCCAGGGGCAGTAAGCACCTAGAAAGCCCAAAAGGCCAGGGCAGCTCTGCCTGAGGGTTTGGACTTCAAACCTCTCTCTTGGGGCAGCCTAGTACCCTGTCCTCTGCTGGGGAATCCTATCCCTAATTTGATGGCTGCCAGCACCCCTGCTACTGGGCCAAAAGCTGCCCCAGCCTGCATCTTCCTGTCCTGTTCTTTCTGTGGCCTGGAGAGGTGTCAGGTGAACATAGTTGGGTGTATCTGACATGCTGGGGTCTGTGTGGAGAAAGCTATCTCCAGGGTCTCAGTTCCAGGCTGAAATGGGCTCAGCCCCACCTGGGAAAGCCTAACCCTGTCTCTCTCTCTCCTTCCCTCTTTCTCTCTTCCTTTCACCCTTCCCCCTCAGCATCTCTCCCCCTCTCTCTCTCTCTGTCTCTGTCTCTTCTCTCTCTCCCTCCCTCTCTCTTGGTACCTTATGTAGTCTAAGCTGACTTTAACTCCTGTTCCTGCTGCTGCAGCCCCCACATGTTAAGGTGACAAGTATGTACCACCATGTCCAAGAACGGTGTTCCTTTTGGCTGTGTGCTCAGTGCTGGGGATGGAATACAGGACCTCACACATGCTGGGCAAGGACTGAACTCTGAGCCATGCCAGAACTCTGTTCGTGCATGCCACCCTGAGAAGGAGCAAGCCTTCTGAGCCTGTTTGCCCACAAGTTCTAATGAAGCTGCCAGGAGCAGACTCGGGGCAGGCACTCACAGTAGCAGGCCCATGAATGCCCAGGCAGACAATGCCGGGGCCCTCATCTGCTCCCTCCTGGCTTTCACCCACAAAGCTTACTGAGAGGATGTTCTGTCTCCGGATGGACTGACCTAACCGTGGGATTATGAATTCCTGGTTTATCCCAAGGAAGATTTTGTTATTAAAATGAAGGATCAGAAAGCAGGGCATAGTGGCTTTAATCCCAGCACCTGTGAGGCACAGGCAGGTGGATCCCTGTGAGTTCAAGACCAGCCTGTGCTATATAGTGAGTTCCAGGACAGCCAGAGCTATATGAGACCCTTCCCCCCCACAAAAAAAAAATTCAGGCCTTTGAGGTGGCTGGTAAAGGCTTGCTGCTAAGCTGACATCCTGAGTTGAACCTCTAGAGCCCACGTGTGGAATGTGTAATAAATAAGTCTAACTTTAAAAAACCATACCGCCTGCAGCAAACCCCTTCCTGGCAGGCGATGCCTGCCATCGTGAAAATCACTCTGTAAAAGTCTTCACCAGCTCCTAAGTGCTGAGGTGACCCACATCTGTCACCCCAGCACTCAAGAGGCTGAGGCAGAAGAATTGCCATGAGTTTAAGACCAGACTGCGCTCTATAGTGAGACCCTGCCAGGGGCTGGGGTTACGGAGAGAGAAAGGCTGTTCACTCAGGGGTATAGCATACACTAATGAATGAGTCCCAGAGGCAGGAGTCAGGAGCTCAAGGACATCCTTAGCTTCACAGCGAGTTCTAGACCAGTCTAAACTACATGAAACCATACTGGAAATAAGGGGAGGGGAGTTATCCAGATTTCCTCAAGTAGAATTTAGAATTTGGGGGTGCTGCGGTGCAGGGCCCACAGGCCGCCTCTTACCAGATCGCCTTGGCACTGGCGGAAGCTGGCGTTGATGCGCTCCAGCTCGCGCCGCGCATTCAGCAGGAGCTGCATGACCGTGTCCTTGGCATGCAAGCTGATGTTCAGCTGTTTGGTCAGGTTAGCCTGTGCGGCCGACAGTCCCATCACCTGGCTGTACAGATTGTCGGCACGGATCTCGGTGGCCTTCAGGCTGGCCTCCGTGGTGGCGTGCACGTTGCCATAGATCATGAAAAGGACCAGGCCCAGGATGATGAGGAACTGGATGAGGGACACAAAGAGGAAGAAATAGCGCAGGTAGTACCAGCAGCCGCGAGCAGGGTCCCCTGTGCGGGAGTATGGGCTGCGGTCCATGGCGAGCCCCATTTGCACGGTCAGTCCCTCCTTGCCTGCCTGGCCAGATCTGGGCCACGCCAAGCAGAGGGGAGTGTTTATATTACTTCTCTTAATGCTTCCTCTGCCTGGCTCCTTCCTGGCCAGGAGGAAATGGAGGCTGTGGGTTATCACAACACTCCCACCCTGGCTGTTGAGAACTGGCAGTCTGGGTAGCTGTGATAGTTGGAGGGTGCAGCACCCGCTGAGTGACTGGGCTGCCTTCTGCCTGGCCTGGCCTCAGTTTCCATCATCACCACCCTGCCTTAGGTCGGCCAGGCGATGACCTCTGATTTTGGTACTATTATCTCAATCATAGCCTGTGGCTAAAGAGGACACTGAGGCACAGCTGTGACAAGAGACTGGCCCTGTGGCCCAGCCCTGTTACTGTGAGGCAGGCAGCTTCCAGGGACTCGTGCATTCGCGCGCGCGCACACACACACACACACACACACACACACACACACACACACACACACGAGTCTGGGACCCAAGGCAAAGGATTGCTGGAGTTCCCTACCCAGGAGTTTCAGGGAAATTTTCCACTATGGCAACAACAGGTGCTCAATTAGTGTACAGAAGAGCTTCACAGAGACCTGATTCTTGGGGGACAATGGCACTACCTCCCTCAAAAATTCTGCCAGCACATATAGGTGTCCCCAGAGAGCTCTGGGATTGGGGCCTCATTCAGCAACAGAGACCCTGCGTATTTCCCCTAGTGAGGGGCTGGGGGCCTGGCTCAGGGGTGGAGCCCCTGCCTAGAGTCCCCCCCCAGCACTATGAAAAAAAAATATGTGGGCTCTGAAGTCAGAGAGCAGGATCTTGGAGTGGGGGAAGGGGAGAGAGGCCTCTGGGAACTCTAGCAAGGGCTGCCCCAATGTGTGCCTCAGTTTCCCCCTCCATGACAAAAGTTTGCTTATGTTTCTGTCCTGCTGTGATTTCAGGGTCCCAGGTGACAGTGAGCCTTGCTGGTAGGTGGGGTTCCATGGGAGGTTCTTGGGTCTGTGTGGGACAACCTCCAGGCAAAGATGGGAGACTTCAGGGTCACAGGGTGCCCCGTCTCCCAAAAGTGCTGGGAAAATTTTCTGGACTCCTTTACCTGCTGGCCCTGCCTCACAGGCAATCCTGACCTGTTGGGACAAGGAACAAGGAGCTGGCTAGATGGCAGCTGTGGGACCTAGCTGGGAGAAGGTCTCCTGGGCCAAGGAGCCTGGGAAGAGATGAGATGGAGAAGGAGCTGAGCAGGAGGGTGTGGGGTTGGGAAGGAGGAAGTTCCCAGGAGCAGACAGGAAACCCTGTGTGACCTTTGGCCTTTGCAGCCACCCGGTGATTCCTGATTCTAGACCCTTCCTGGCCAGCCAATGGGTGGGGGCGGCAGGACTGGGGACTGAAGCTGGGGCCCAACCAGTGGTGGCTCCAGGTTGGCCAGGCAGGTGGGGAGGCCACAGTTGGCCTCAAGTTGGGGTTTGGCATGCCACCTGGCCAGCACATGACCCCGGAAAAGTAACTTCCTACCCTGAAATTCCATTTTATCCTGTTTACAGAGGACAACTTTTTGCTCCCTTTAAGAGGGGATCTCATGTAGCCTACCTGGACTGACCTCCAAGTGGCTGTGTAGCTAAGGATGGCCTGAAACTCGTGACCCTCGTGTCTCCACCTCCCAGGTGCTGGGATGACAGGTGTGCCCACCATCCCTGATCTATGGGTGTGGGACCCAGGCCTCTCCCATGCTGAGCACTCAGACCCACACAGCCCTTGTTTTTTTCATCCCCCTCCCCCAAGACAGGGTTTCTCTGAGTAGCTTTGTTTGTCAAACTCACAGAATCCATCTGCCTCTGCCACCTGGGTACTGGGACTAAAGGCGTGCCCCCTCTCTCCCCCATGCCCACACTCCACCTTTTCTTTTCAGCCATCATGGTTGTTGCTGTTGTCTGTAATGTGTCCTGGGCACTGCAGTAGGCATGTCAGTTCTCTGCTTCCACCTTTTGTGGGTTCCTGGTACAGAGCACGGGTCTTCATAGCAAGAGCTTTAATCCACAGAGCCATCTTCTCAGCACCCAACATAGCTAACTTCCAAAGCTTTCTACAGAGCCAGACACACATTCAGTCTTAATAAATGGAACTTGCCTCATCAGTTCAGATGACCTGTGTTCGATTCCCAGCACCTACACAATAACCATCTGTAACTCCTTTCCTAACGGATCTGATGACCACTTCTTGTCTCTGAGTATACCATGCACATAAGTGTACACAGTCATACATGTAGTCAAAACACCCAGACACATGAAATAAAATAATATTTTTAGTATAAGTAAGCCACAGTACTTCTGGACATGCTGAAGTGCAACTCTCACCCATATGGTTTATGACTGTCATATGATGCCAGGCTGAGAGGCAGTGGGGGCAGGGGCATTGTCCCTGGACCCAGAGGACAGGAACAATGATGGGTGGAATGTGAGGAACCAGGGTGTCATGGAGGGAGGGGCTCTATCAGGAAGCAGCAACAGGGCCCATTCTGGAAGAGCTGACCTGCTTTATAATGTATGGAGGTGTTGTATGTTTGTACTTAGAAACATGAAGTCAGTTAAGGGGACATGGAGATGGCTCAGTGGGAAAAGGTGCTTGCTATCAAGCCTGACAGTCAGAACTCATGAGGTAGAAGGGGAGACTAGAACCCCACAGGTGACCTTTGTGATCCAAATGGGTGCTGTGGAGTGTGTGAGTGTCCATCATACACAAGTAAATACATAAAATGCTCGGTGGTGATGCATGCCTTTAACTCTAGCACTTGGGAGGCAGAGGCAGCTAGATCTCTGAGTTCCAGGCCAGAGTGAGTTTCAGGACAGGCAAGGCCACACAAAGAAAACTCTGTCTCAAAAAACAAACAGCAACAACACCAACAAAAATGGAGTTGTAGGCTGGAGAGATGACTCAGTGGTTAAGAGCACTGGCTGTTCTTGCAGAGGACCTGGGTTCCATTCCCAGAACCCACATGGTGGCTCAAAACCTTTTGTGACTCCAGTTTCAAGGGATAGAAAGCCCTCTTCTGGTTTTTATGGGCACAGAACACATGTGATACATATGAGCAGGCAAAACATCCATCCACATAAAATAATAAAGTCAGGTAAGGAAAATAAAGGCAATTGTAAATTCTCAAAAAAACATAAAACAAAAAACAAACAAACAGAAAAAAAAAACCCTTGATTTGAGGGTGACCATGTGTTGACATGCTGGGCAATTGTTACATTTTAACCATACATGCTACATTTCTATCAAGATCAAAATGATATTTTCTTTCCACATTGGTAATCCAATCTCATGGTTTTGATTCCTTTTTTGAAGCAAAGTTTCATGTATGTAACCCAGGCTGCCAGGGTGTATGTGTGTGTGTGTGTGTGTGTGTGTGTGTGTGTGTGTGTGTGTGTGTGTATTCTTTTGTATATGAAGTGCTCTCAGAGGCCAGAAGGGCACATTGGATTCTCTGGTTCTGGAGTTACAGGAGATTGTGAGCTCCCTCATAGGGGCTGGGGACTGAACCCTGGGTCCTCTATGACAGCAGCCTGTTCTCTTAATTGCTGAGACACCTCACCAGGGCCCTCCTTGTTAGTTGGTTTATTGGTTTTTCCAGACAGGGTTTTCCTGTGTAATTCTGGCTGTCCTGGAACTCATTCTGTAGAACAGACTGGCCTCAAACTCAGAGATCCACCTGCCTCTGCCTCCCAAGTGCTGGTATTAAAGGTGTGTACCACCACTGCCTGGCCAGGTTTATTTTTTAGGTAGAAAAAAATAAAAAAAATCTTCCTTGTTTTTTGCTTAGTGCTATGACTTTAAGATTTTTTTTCCTTTCTTGTCAGTTTCAAAACTTTTAAAATTACATTTACTTATTTAGTCTCAGTCTCTCTCTCTCTCTCTCTCTCTCTCTCTCTCTCTCATGTATCACAAATGCATACATGGAGGTCAGAGGGCAATCTTCAGGAGTCAGTTCTCTGCTTCTACCATGTGGGTCCAAGGTGAGGCCTGAACTCAGGTCGTTGGGCTCAGAGGCAATGCCTTCCAGAGAATCATCCCTGCCACTAGAATGGAAGCCTGGACTCAATGCCTGCTTGGAGTCTCAGAGGTCCAAGGAGCCTTTTGCCCTTCTGTTTGGGTTCCCAGCACTGTAAGGGTCATGGTTCTTGACAACACCTCCTTTTTTAATGCCAGAGAGAGTAATCCCCAATCCATCTGTCCAGTCAAATGCTCCATCTCTCATCTCACTGGGCATAGCTGCCACCAGTGTCTTTAAAAGTTATTTTCCTGGCCACATGTGCCACGCTGTATAAAATCTCTAAAAATAGATGGTCTGAAGCCCCTCTGCTTGCATCCCTGACCAGGTTGTCCTTTAGAGGGAGAGAGAGAGGAAGGAAGGGAGGGAGAGAGGGAGGAAGGCTGAGAGGCTGCCCTTCCAGATCAACCTCATTCTCTGATGGGACTGCTCTGTGATTTTCCTGAGAACAATCTGTCATGGTCACAGGAAACTTTGCCCATGTTGTGTCCTCGTCCTGTCCTCTCAGATGCCCCTGCTCACAAGGCTCAGGCTCCTTAGGGATGCTCCCCACCCCCCCTTCTCTCTAAATGGAAAACAATCAATTTGGGCTGAGTTGTTTGTTTAGGTGGGAACATTTTGGAGGAAGTCCGCACTTGCCACCAGCTAAACAGCTCAGCCTTCTCGGAGACAGGAGGTTTAACAAACGTCATGTCTTGGTTAAAAAACAATTTTCACTGTTTGGGTTTTGTTTTATTGTTTTGAGACAGAATGCTACTATGTGCTCTAGGTAGTTTGAGGCTACTTGAAGGCTGGCCTTGAACTCACAGCAATCCTCCTGTCTCAGTTTTCAGAATGTTGGGTGACAGAAGTATGCCACTAGGAAGTTTGTAAAGGAAGAAATGGCTTTTTAAATTTTATTTATTTATTTTAAGACAGCTTTGGCTAGCCTGCAACTCTTTCTGTAGACCAGGCTGGCCTCTGATTTACAGAGATCCTCCTGCTTTTGTATCCTAAGCGCTGAGATTGAAGTTGTGTGCCCCCAAGCCTGGTGGAAGGGATGGTTTTCCTGCCAGTGGTATGCACTCCGTCTCAGTTTTCCATGAATATCTTCTGTTTTTAGGAGGAAGTAAGGCAGAACTGAGTTGAACTTAGGGCAGCTCTTTAGGACTCTGAGTCCCTTGGGGATGGGACTCTGGGGTGAGACTCTTAGGGGAAGCCTACCATCACCACCACCCTGGGGCTGCTGTTGCTGTCCCCACCCCTACCCAACTCCTGTATTCACAGGAGGGGCCTCAGGGTGGGTGTAGAACAGACAGCAGGGACAGTTTTCCAGAGGCATGAGCTGGGGACAGAAGTAGACACACAGCTAAGAGACAGTGAGAGAGACGACCAGAGGCTTCAGAGGTGTTGCCCATCACGCCTGAGGAACTCACTAGATTCCCCCACAACCGGCTCCAGCAAGTTGTCCTCTGGCCTCCGAGCACCATCTCATCTGTACACACACAAAATAAGAAAGAAATATAATAGTGGAGTGATTGCTGTCTGCACCCTGGGCTCTGCCAGGGGTTCCAGCCACAGCACTGTAAACAAACAAAAATACTTCAGGTGCTACAGCTAGCTGGTATAGCTTGTCCAGTGTGTGTGAAGCTCTGGTTTTTTGTCCCCCGAACCTGACTGTCATCCCAACGCAGGGGACATGGAGGCAGGAGGATCAGGTTTGGGTGGTCTTCAGCTACATAGCATATTGGAGGCCAGCCTGGGCTACATGAGGTCCTATCTCAAAACAATCAGAGGTAGAAAAAGTAGGCTTGGAGCTGCCTGTGGGGCGGGGAGGTGGGGGGAGGCAGGTCACATGATTACTCCCTCACTTCAAGTCACACTAATGTCTGTGGCTCCTTGCATCCCACACAGCCTCCCAAGGCTTCCTGTTGCCCTCCTTTCTGGTAGTGTCTTGTGTCTCCCCCTCCCCCTCCCCCCACCCCGAAGTCTCACTGTAAACCTGATAATCCTCCTGCCTTAGTCTCCGGAATGTTGAGATTACAGATGGGAGCAAAGGCTTGGAATGATAAGATGATATTTATTTGTTTGTGGCAGTCTCAGGCTAGTCTCAAACTTCCTATGTTGGCAAGGCTGACCCTGAACTCTTCCACCCTGCCCAGTGCCTGCCCTACCATAAAAGGCATTTCCCACATCTCAGGGCTGGGAAACTGTCTTAGACCCACCTGCATGATGCAGCGACCCCTAATGGCAAGAAGAGGCAACTAGAAACCCCTCTGATCTGAATTCCAATTTACCATCTCTTTTTTCTTTCTTTTTGTTTTTCTTTTCTCTCTCCTTTTTAAAGATACTGTCTCTAGGGCTCCATACCCAACTCCACCATTAAACTACATGCCAGTCTCTGCCAGCATCACAGTTCTCTCTCTCTCTCTCTCCTAGACACAGGGTTTCTCTGGGTAGCTCTGGCTGTCCTGGAACTAGCTCTGTAGACCAGGCTGGCCTCAAACTCATGCATATCAGCCTACCTCTGCCTCCCAATTAAAGGTATGGACCACCCACTCCTGCATCACAAATTCTAAAGACACATTTACTTTATGTAGCTATATGTGGTTATAAGCAATGGACAACAGAGGCCAGAAGATGTCATACTCCCTGGGGTTGGAATCAGAGGCAGCTGTGAGCTGCTGGATGTGGGTGCTGGGGACTGAATTTGGTTTCTCCACATGAGCAGCCAGTGTTCTTAACCACAGCACCGTCTTCACAAAGCAGAACTAAGAATTAGCTTCATCAGATAGATGACAGACAGACAGACAGATAGACAGAGAACCTGGACCTCAGCATCCTTATTCCCAGTGCAGATGATGATCTCTCTCCAATACTGTGTATGCATTGTGTTTGTAGCATGTATAAAAGAAAGTTGTTTGTTTTTGCCAGGCCTGGTGGTCTAAGCCTTTAATCCTAGCACTCTGGAGTTAGAGGCAGGCAGATCTCTGTGAGTTCTAGGCCAGCCTGGCCTAAAGAGTGAGTTCCAGGACAGCCAGGGCTATATAGAGAAATCCTGTCTCAAATAGATAAATGAATAAGTAATAAATGTTTTAACTTTTTATTTATTTTGTATATTCTCTTTGCCTGCATGTATGTGCACCTATGCATACAGTACTCAAGTAGGTCCTAGCAGTGTGCTGGATCCCCCAGGACTGAGTTCTAGGGGGTTTGTGAGATGACATGTGGGTGCTGAGAAGGCAACCCAGGGCCTTTGCAAGGGCAAATGCATACTCTGATCTGCTGAGCTCCAGCCCTAAATAAAGCATCAGGGTTCGTGTATCTGAGATCGAAGTGTGGACAGGACAGCACCCTGCTACGCTGGGGCAGCCTCTGGCCCTGGGGAACAAAGCAAACAAACAAAGAACAAATTATGGCATCTGGATGGGAAATATTAAGAAAGTCACGTTAAATATAGATCTAGCCAGGCATGGTGAAACAAGTCCCTAGAGAAGAGTCAGGGCTGTGTGTTCAAGGCCGACCTGAGCTACATAGGAAGATGTCTCGGAAAAACTGTGTTAAATATTAATTTTAAGATTCACAAACAACATGAAATTAAGCACATGTGACATTGTTGAGTAGGAAGAGGGAACAGGCCTTTAATCTCAGCCTTGGGTGAATGGGTCAGGAGGTCCAGGGCAGGCTAGGCTATATAGCTAGTGTGAGGTCAGCCTGGGCTACACGAGACCCAGTTGAAAGGGAAAGGGAAAAAGTAGGGAGGAAAGGGGAGCAGGGCAGAGAGAATCAGGAAGGGAGGAAGAGAGGAACTATCGATCTTTCAATGATTCTTCCCTCCGTGTGACCGGACAGCTCCCCTTCACTCTTCCTGAGCTGTCATTTCTTGTCCCATGGGCATCTCCTCCAGAACACGGTCACTTTCTAGGCTGCAGGCATCCTCACCGAGGCCCTGGTCCTCATGGCTTCTTAGAATTCTGGAGTGTGCCTCGGTTCTCTGTTGAAATCCCACTTGAGTCCCGTGTGCTCCTGCAGGGTGAGCCTCTTGACTATGTGGGATGAAGGTCGCGGCATGGTTACCAGGGGCCTGATCAAATGAGCCTCACTGTGTGCACTTAGAGAGGACTGAGTCTTTCCGAGTACTGCCGTTTAGACAGTTGTGGGTAGAAAGCTGAGCGGGGGACACTATGTGGGCCACGCCTCTCACCCACACTGCCAGTCCTGGCCTGAGGTTCCCATCTTACTGGGGGTCACGAGGTGGCCTCCGGCAACTCTTAGTGGGTCCAGACCTCGGGCGGGAGTGGATGCTGGGCTTGGACCTGGATCCTGAGCGGGGGCGGGGGCGCGATACTCTCTGCAGGTTGCCGAGCTCGGCTTCCAGGGCGTAACTGCAGAAGGAGGAGGACTATGAGTGCCTGACACCGTGTCCGTGTGGAGAGCTCTGCCTTCAGGGCTTCCTTCCCTGCAGGGTCCCCATTCCCTTCTACACGCTGACACATTAGACACCCCTCCCCTGGGACTCGGGTCCCTCCCCTGTAAGATCCTCCCCAAACCCCTGACTCTTCTCACTACCTACTCCTTTTTCCTGCAACCTTGTGTTTTCTCCGTGCTACTCCCTGGAGCGCCACATTGATTCCCCAAGCGGTGCCTTCAACCTTAGGACCCCTACCCCCAGACCACCTATCCCCATCACCACCCCGAGCTACCTTCCAACTTCATCTCCAAGTCCGGCCTACCTGGCTACTCCTCCCTCCCCACCTACAGAGATCCAGACGTACCTAAGCCACGCCCCTAGATACAAATTGACCTAAAGAACTACAGTCTACATAATCATTAGCCAGCGACCCTGTCCGTCTGGCACCTAAGGCCAGCCCTTTAACTCACATGCGCTCCTTCAGCGCCGCCTCGCGGCCAACGCAAGCTTCTCCGTCTGCCTCTGCTGCGCCTACGCGCTGTAGAGTGGCTTCCAGCAGTTGCTTGGACTCAATGGCTGCTGTCTCCCAGCGAGCCAAGGCTTCTACAGGGGACAGGGGGACTTGAATCTGCATGCCGCGTGCATGCTTGAATTAAAATGCGCATAACTGACCTGGGCAATGGTGGCACACAAACGTAATCCCAGCACTCGGGAGACAGAGGCAGGTGGATCTGTGAGTTCGAGGTCAGCCTGGGCTACAAAGCGAGTTTCAGGACAGCTACAGTTAGTACACAGAGAAACCCTATCTCAAAAAAAAAAAAAAAAAAAAAAAAAAAAAAAAAAAATGTGCACGACTTTCTACAAAATTCTACAAAACAAAAATAAATAAATAAACCGAGACTAGAGACAGACTTCTAACTCCCAATTCCTGCCTCCCGAGGGCTGGGATAACAAGCGTCCACCATCACACCTGGTTCATGCAACCTTTCAGGTTTTTTTGTTTTGGTTTAGTTTTGGGGGACAGGGTTTCTCTGTGTACCTTTGCAGATCAGGCTGATGCCATCACTGCCCCAAACTTTTTGGGTTTTTGTTATTTTGTTTTTTCTTTTTTGTTTGTTTATTTTGTTTCTTTTAAGACTAGGTCTTACTGTGTAGCCCGGGTTGACCTCTAAATTCATTCACAGAGATACTTCTGTGTCAGTCTTCTGGGTCCTGGGGTGACAGGTGTGTACCACCAGGCCTGGTCTGTGCATGCTGACGATAGAGCCCAGTGCTCCAGGCATGCTAGGCAAGCTCTCTACCTTGCCACAGTCACAGCCTGGTCTCATTATTTTTTAATCTCTTGCAAGCCTTTTTCTGTTTTCTTGCCCTCTCAGGTTGAATTAAAGTTCTTCTAACATCTTTTTTAGATGATTTGCACAGCAATCCCAGACCCATGCACTGTGTATTTCTAAGGACCTGCTAAGCCCCCCTCCAGTCCCTCTCCTCCAGCCCCCTCCTCCAGCCCCCTCCTCCAGTCCACCTCCTCCAGCCTTCCCTCCCCAAGCCCACCTGTCAGTTCTCCATTCTCCAGCCCCATCTGTGTGCCTTGAGCTTTGGCCTCATCCATCTCAATCTTCAGGGTCTTCAGCTGGGTCTGAAGCCAGCTCTGCAGACAGCAATGGGGGAGGATAAAGGGACAAAGAGGGAGCTAGGTAAACCCCACCTAACTCTGTACCATCTGGGACTTGCCACCAGCTCAGGAAGATTTGATGAATGACAGTGTCCGGTTTCTGAGGCTCACATTGGTCCCTCCTGCATGCAGAGTCAGAGCTCACACGTGGGGACAGGCAGTTTTGACCTCCCCTGCCTCAGGCCCTTCATCTGGGAACGCAGAGAGCTTGCCGGAGCCATTCTGAATATTCTGTATTGGATAGAGCCCCAACCTAGCAGTAGTTAAGTCTTGTTTTTCCCAGTACAGTTCAGAGTTCATCAAAATTAGATGTAGAAACTGTGCTGGCTCAGACACAGAAAGGCTCACAGCCATTGTTTAATAAATGCAAATTGCTAGGTTTGGGGTGTTTCCTTTTGTGATAGAACTTCCTGAAGCCCTGGCTGCCCTCTACCTCTCCACTCTTTGATGAAGAGTTTGAATTCCTCATCTCCCTGTCTCTGCCCTCCCTTGTGCTACGATGACAGGTGTGTGACATTGTACTGTCAGTGACTGTTTTGAGCACTCCATTTTGTAAGGCTATGGGGTCAAGAGGGTTAAGAAAGTGGCTGAGGGGGTGGCCCCTAGAAAAGGGAGGTACCACCCCAAGAGGCCAACTTTAGTCTCCTAATTACAGGTGACATAAGTGTTCCTCTCTCAAAATAGAACGGCTGGAACTGGAATGGAGGTGAGGCGGTACAGAGGGTCAACAAAGGGTCTCTCAAAGATCCGGGATCCCAGCTTTTACCTTGTGTTCAATAGTGGGGACGAATGACATCATGGATCAGAAGTTAGGTTCCAAGAGGAATGGTATTTTAGGAGATAGGAGAGACTGTGGTGATCCTGCACTTCCTCTCCATCCTTTGGAGAGTTGGGGGACACTGAGGCCCTGGAGATGGGCAAGCAGGATCTCTTTGCAGAATGTTCTGGATTTCCCCTGCCCCTACCTGGCGGTCCTTGCAGGCCTTGAACACCACCTCCAGCTCCCTCCTATCGCCCTCAGCACGCTGCAGCCGCGTAGCCAGGCTCTCCTGGAGCCTCTCAGCTTCTGCCAGCTGCCTCCGCAGTTCTTCGACTTCAGGTGTCGAGTCTGGGGTCCACACCGTGGCGTTAATCTGCTCGGGCTCAGGGCAGAGTACGCCCTGGGCAGTCGAGGCCGCCAGGTTCCAGGCCACCAGCGCCCCTCCGGCCGCCGCTGCTGCCAGGAACACCGCAGCCCCGCACAGGGCCAGCAGCCGCCACGCACGACCCGGCTCCGGGCCCGGCTCTGCCATCACGCTGTGGCTCTGACCCCAGAAGGCCCACCAGCACTTAATTGGCACTCTGGGATTCCAGAGACACCTACGGTTCCGCCCCGCCTGGCAGTGACTTCACAAGCCCTGGGGAAGAGCGCACAGGAATCCCTCTAGGGCCGCTCAGCTCTGAGCACTCTAGGAAATGACTGGGGGGCGCTAAAACCAGACCCTTCTGAGCCTCAGTTTTCCCTCAATTCAGCAACTGGTGAGAGTCAGAAGCGCACAGGGGGAAACTCAATAGATCAAACATGGTTCGGAATTCCAGAGTGGCAGGTGAGTCCATTCTGCAGGTGGGGAAACTGAGGCCAGAAGGTAGGAGGGTAGACACGGGAGGGGGGTTCCCCAAGGTCTCCACGCTGGCTGCATTTGGACGGGTGTGGACAATCTTTCCATGAGAATAGGATTCAAGGTTCTTATAAAAAGTTTTTAAATTTTTTATTACATTTTATTTATTTTGTGTGTGCACGGGAGGAAGGTAAGTTCTGTCCAGGTCACAGGACAGTTTGTCTCTCCAACATGCAGGTCTAGGGTACCTAAAGTCGCCAGACACCCAGATTCCTGCCTGAAGTTTACCGTGGTCTCTTTCCCGGGTGCCCCATACCATTCCAACTGGGCCGCTAACAAGCAAAGTCTCACATTTTGTTTCACCCTCTACCCTGTGGTCACACAGGCCGGGCATACAGTAGGTGCACACTAAGTATGAGCTGAGAACAACTGGTGTACCCCTCATTCAGTTCAGATTTTTGCAGTAGCACCACACATCTGTCAGGCCAGAGCAGGCTGGGGGCGGGGAGGGGGGGACTTAGGGGCTAGCCTGTGCTACATGACACCTGGGGCTGAAGCTTTTACCCTGATTAGAATATAAATTTACAATAAATGAACTCAAATGTGGTGGCACTTGCCTCACCCTAGCACAAGGAGGCAGAGGCAGGCGGATCACTATGAGTTTGAGAACTGCCTGGTCTAGAAACAAAACAAAACAAAAAACAAAAAACAAAAAAAAACAAAACAAACAAAAAAAAAAAGATTAAGCTGGGAGATTCTGCCCCAGTTTGGCTCAATCGCTTCTTCTCAGACAGCCCTCAGCTCCTTCAGCCAGATGGGTTAGGAAGGTCAGGACAAGACTGAATCCCCAGGAAGTGTGGAACATTTGATGGGAAGGACAGGCAACAATGGCAGTTTCAAGGTGACAATCCACAACCCGCCTGCACAGGACCATTGAGGAAGGCCGCCAGTCTACATAGGTGTGACTGCCTCTACTCTGCGGCCTCCTGGGAAGCCAGGGCTTCAGGGTTCAGGGTCCAGTCAGTGGTAGACTGAGTGTCTGGTGCGGTATTTCCCAGTAGATGGAACAATTCTATTTACATTACAACTACAAAGATGAGATCAAACAGAGGGGGGTAAGATAAATAGGGAGAGAAGAAAGGGGTAGGATGGAAAAAAGGAAGAAATGAAATGAAAAATAGGTCAGGCCCAGAGAGGCTGTGCTACAAGCCAGAAACACTAGAACACAACTCCCTTCCCACCCTCAGTCCTCCAACCACTAAGTGGAGGCACAACTTCGAGGGCCAGATGCACAGTAAAAGGGAAAACATGGTAGGGTTTGTCCTCCTGTGTAGACTGGTGAGCAGCCTTATCAGCCACCTCAGCTCGGAGGAGCTGGGGGAAAAAGCCATACTGGGATTTTGCAGGAACCCAAGAGGACAGAGGTCACAGGTCATGGATAAAAGTATTGCTCAATGCCCAGAAGGGCTCACTGCCTGGTCAGCTGGGGTTTCCATGAAAGCCAGTAATTCCCCACATCAGTGAGTGTGTGTGTGTGTGTGTGAGAGTGTGTGTGAATGAGTGTGTGTGAGTGTGTGTGTGTGAGTGTGTGAGTATATGAATGAGTGTGTGAGAGTGTGTGTGAGTGTGAGTGTGTGTGAGTGTGTGAGTATATGAATGAGTGTGTGAGAGTGTGTGTGAGTGTGAGTGTGTGTGAGTGAGAGTGTGTGAGTATGAATGTGTGTGAGTGTGAGTGTGTGTGAGTGTGTGTGAATGTGTGTAGTGAGTGTGTGTGTGTGAGAGTGTGAGTGAGTGTGAGTGTGTGTGAGTGAGTGTGTGTGAATGTGTGTGGTGAGTGTGTGAGAGTGTGTGAGTATGAATGTGTGTGAGTGTGAGTGTGTGTGAGTGAGTGTGTGTGAATGTGTGTAGTGAGTGTGTGAGTGAGTGTGTGAGTGTGTGTGTGTGTGAGAGTGTGTGTGAATGAGTGTGTGAGTGTGTGTGAGTGTGTGTGTGTGAGTATATGAATGAGTTATGAATGAGTGTGTGTGTGAATGTGTGTAGTGAGTGTGTGAGTGTGTGTGAGTGTGTGAGTATATGAATGAGTGTGTGTGAGAGTGTGTGTGAGTGTGAGTGAGTGAGTGTGTGTGAATGTGTGTGGTGAGTGTGTGAGAGAGTGTGTGTGAGAGTGTGTGAGTATGAATGTGTGTGAGTGTGAGTGTGTGTGAGTGAGTGTGTGTGAATGTGTGTAGTGAGTGTGTGAGTGAGTGTGTGTGTGTGAGAGTGTGAGTGAGTGTGAGTGACTGTGTGTGAATGTGTGTGAATGTGTGTGGTGTATGAGTGTGTATGAGTATATGAAAGTTATGAATGAGTGTGTGTGAGTGTGTATGTGAGTGTGAGTGAGTGAGTGAGTGTGTGTGTGTGTGTGTGTGTGTGTGTGTGGTGACCACTGTACAGCAGCTGTCTTCCTCATCTAGCTCCTCCATAGCCTCCGGGGTCTCCAGTGTGAAGGAAAAAAAAAAGTTCAGCCCTCCCCGTCCCTAGCCAATCAGCCCCAGGAAAAGAAATTTTCACAGAGAGCACTAGGGGAGAGACATGTGTTAGTTTCAAATCTGCGATTCTGGCAAATGTCTGCAAGTGAGGGACAGGCAGTCCTCGCCTGAATTTTCACCCTATGAGGCCTGGTCCTCCACTTCTACTGTTCTGAAATTCACCTCCAAGGAATACATGAGTCTATTAGGCTGAGCTACAGAGCCATGGGTGATGGTTTGGGGTGGAGGCATAGATGACGGCCCTTCCCACCCCTTCTCCTAAAGACAAAGTCAACATCAGACAGTGGACAGGCTGGCTGGGACAATGTTTTGCAAACAGACACAGCTAAACTCATGAAGCCATGTGGCATCATCTGTTGGACCTAGAGGTCAGGGTTTTCTCCAAGATCACCAAAGAAAGGCCAGCCCTAAGTAGGCCCAGTCAAGGGCCAGTGGCTGGGCCAGGGATGGACCCCACCTAAGGCCCCCCAGTGAGGGGTTGGGGTCACCAGAACACACACCTGTGTATGCACACACACACCTTCATACACTTATACACACACACTCTTGAGTGCACACGAGTAGAACACGCATGCATGCACATGCAGCAGTAGCAGCAGCAGGGTTGAGCACACACACGTGCACACAGGAGCATGCAAAGGTGCACACACACAAACAGAAGCAGCAACAGCAGAGTTGAGTGACACCTCAAGCTTGAGGGTTTAGAAAATGCTTGTGCAATATGCCTGAGCTTGCTCACCAGTTGTGAATGGAGACAAGGACAATGATGCGAGGTTAACAGGAATCAAGAGACAAAGGGAGTTACAGGCAGTAACAGGGAGTACCTGTGAATGGGCATTCGGGGCCCAGAGGGTGCGGAAAGGGAACAGGTATGTGAGCCTCAGTACTGCAGGCTGGAAAAGACAGGGACAATAGCTTCACCCCACGAGGATGTGGAGGAAGGAAGTTAACAGAGGAATGCAGAGATATCCGGTAGAGGGAGGGGGTATCAGAGCTAGGGACTGGGGTTGAGAGGAATCTGGGAGATGGAAAATAGAAGATAGTGGTCCATAACAAGACTTAACTGCACTGGGTGGTGGGGGCCACACTCCTTTAGTCCCAGCACCAGGGAAGCAGAGGCAGGTGGATCTATGTGAATTTGAGGCCAGCCGGATCTACAGAGAAAGTTCCAGGACAGCCAGGGCTATACAGAAATTTCCTGTCTTGAAACCACCCCCCCCAAAAAAATCCAAAACTTTTGACAATTTGTGGAAAAATAAGGAAACTGCTGGTGTTGGTTGGTTGCTGCAGGCACCTCTGGATAAATTGACAAAAGAAAATGTAAATGGGCCCCCTTCTTAGCACAAATGACACCATGGTGGACTTACCATTCAAGCTATAAGACTTAGCCCACAGACAGTACCACCGCTGGGGTGAAGACAAAGACCTGATCCGTCAAACCCATAGTTCTGGGAAAGTCTAACTGAGATAACAGTGCTCTTTGGCTTCTGTAGTACCGTGTCTAACTGTTCTTGTCAACTGAAGGATGTCAGCCCAGTACATGGTTTTTGTGCTTAAAAGCTTATCTGGGGCTGGAGAGGTGGCTCATCAGTTAAGAGCACTGGCTGCTCTTTTAGAGGACATGGGTTCAATTCCCAGCAACCACATGGCAGCTCACAGCAGTCTGTAATTCCAAGACCTGACACTCTGCCGGGGCTACACAGGGATCCCAAGTGGTCATCTCTCATCTCTCCACCCTCAGCTGACGATGTACCCTCACCTCCACCTGAGATATTGCCTTTTTACCTTTGACTGAGGAAAGTGTTTTCTCTGAAGAAAATGCTGTTGTCCCTCAACCCTAAATCCATAACCAGATTCAAGGCTAAGCAAGCTTCTAGATGGGAGACAGAAAGTGTAGTCCACGAGGAAGAATGCTACACTACAAAGGAGGTTAGTGAGTTCGCTAATGCACTCAGGCAGCAGTCTGGAGAACACATGTAGGAATGGGCTTTAAGGGTGTGGGATAAAGGTGGAAGGAACATACAACTGAATCAGGTCCATATTAAACCTAGAATCTGCACTCAGAGGGCCCATATCCATAAACTCAGCCTGATCCATGGGCCCTCTGAGTGCAGAGTCTAGGTTTAATATGGAAGTATGCACAGTTAAAAAGGTGTCAAAAGTTTGCTTGAATGTTGACTGAGGCAATTGTTAAAAGATGGCCTACTGAAGAGGACAGGAGATGCCTGACATCTGTTGGACTAATGTTGAGGAAGGGATTTTATGGCTCAGGGAATCTACAATACTAAGGTACACTGTAAAAGCTAATCCTTAACCATGGAAAGGTCCAGAAGACATGGTGAGAGGGGCACCAGTACATTTGAAGAGCTTTGCTGTCACCCTTTTTTCTTGCACCAGAGCTTAAGTTTAGGGATGCTGCTGCTCTGCTGGTTGGATTAAACACAATGGGTTTAATTAGGCCCAGAAGTAGCAGGGGTCAGGTGACTTCATTGAATCACCAAATGCAAGGTGACTGAATTATCATAATGAGCAGCACAGGCAAGGTGAATTTTATGGTGGCATAACTCATATGGACTTTTGGTAGTAGCTACATTGTGTTTCAGGCAGGAAATAGATAAGCCTGAACTTTTGTTTGGTCTGTAGAAGCAGAAAAATTCTTAGACAATTGAAAGTCTTCTGTTGGCAGATAGCCATTGTTGGATTAACTGAACCACAGCCTGTGAGCCTCATCCATCTGTCCATTTATCTATTCATCCATCTATTCACTTACCTATCACCTCTTTGTTATCTATCATCTACCTATCTCTTTATTACCTATCATCTATCTACCTATCTATCATCTATTGCTTTACTACCTATCATCTGTCTATCGATCTCTCTCTTTGTATCATCTGTCTGTCTTTCTATCTATCTCTTTGTATCATCTATCTATCTATTTCTCTATCACTTACCTGTCTATTTTCTTCCTATAGGCTCTGTTGCTCTGTTGAACCTGACTAATACAAACCCCTGCCCAGAACTCGCCATGGGAGACAGAAGAGCATGACAGTCATTCTGGTCTCAGAGTGAGGAGTGTACCCCGAGAGGCAGGAGCCATTCTCTGAACCCTCTGGCCCGGGGTGCAAAGGGGGCAATGGACGGGCATGGTTAGCAAGCTGTGTCCACTTTAACTTGCAGGGGGGCCCCCAGTGATGAGAAGCAGGGGTCCAGTGACATTAGATACTTAGAAGCAAGTTTTTTTCTTTCCAAATTATTTAATTTCCCAGAGCTCAAAGACATCACAAACAAGTGACCCCCTCCCCAATAACCATGAAAGCTCATCACGGTGGCTCTCTCACCCTCGACAGTCATAAGGCGGGGAGGAAGGTACAGTACAGGTTCCACTCAGTGGCTTCTACATCCTCCGGCTGCCATGACTCCTCCAGAGCCACCAGGATCCCCCAGTCACCTCAAAGAGGTGCAACTGCATCTGCATCAAAACAGGCTGTGGCCTAAAGAAAGGGAAAGACTCAGCTGTTAACTGCCACTCCACCCTGCCCACCCAGGGACATGCCCTCCTCCCTGAGCTGGCTCCTCTCTTGGCCCAAGTATAACCCATATGCACAACACCTTCCTCACCCCTCACAACCATCCCTGGACCCATTTCCTCACCTCTCAGCTATTGGGTCCTCAAAAGAGCAGGAATAGTGGCATTGCGAGCATCAGTAGGCTGGAGACCACCACCGACCTGGCAGAATTCTGCTGCAGTGTGCTAGAAGCTTCCTCTGTGGCCCTGGATGTAGAAGGAATGACTCAGGCAGAGATCACCTGACTCCTGATGATATGCCTCATTTTTAAATGTTCCTGTGCTGGTTTGAAACTGGAATTCTAGGCGGGAACTCCACCCTTGAGCCACACCCCAGTCCCTCACTGAGGCATTCTAGGCAGGGGCTCTACCACTGAGCCACACCCCAGTCCCTCACTGGGGGATTCTAGGCAGGGGTCTAACATGTCCCCAGCCCTGTTCTTAGTATTTCAAAATGGCATTTTCTTTCCTTAGACTTCATTTTTATTTCTTTAAATTTTTACTATATTTTATTTAGAGTGTGTACATGGAGTATATGAGTACTCATGTGTGTGGAGTCAAAGGCATGTATGTGGGTTCCGGGATCAAACTCAGGCTTGCAGGATTGTGCTGCAAACACTTTATCCAGAATCACCTCACCTGCCCTGACTTTTATTGAGTGTGTGTGTGTGTGTGTGTGTGTGTGTGTGTGTGTGTGTGTGTAGAGTGCCCTCAGAGCCCAGAGGCATGGAGTTCATACAGGTGGCTAACATTATGGACAGTTGTGAGCTACCCAGTGTCCTGGTTGCTGGGACCAGCAACACCAGGTCCTCTACAAGAGCAGCCAGGGCCTGGGACTGAGATCTTCCTGGTGGCTTAGCTTCTTCCTGTCCCACAGGGTCTTAGGACTGTGTCACCAAGCTGGGGCTCTTAGGCAGCCCACCCACCATGTTAGAAGGGGGAGGTGGACTGGACTCCTATGGCAGTGGTGCTAGGGATGTTTTCCCTCAGAGGATTTTTTTTCTTTTTTCTTTTTTCTGGTTTGTTTTCCAAGGCAGGGTTTCTCTGTGCTGTAGCCTTGGCTGTCCTGGAACTCGCTCTGTAGACCAGGCTGGCCTCAAACCCACAGAGTTCCACCTGCCTCTGCCTCCAGAGTGTGGGATTAAAGTGTGAGCCGTGTGCCTGCTCCATCTTATTTTTATTAATTGTCTGTGGCGATACATTATTTATGATGTATTAAATCTTGCCCAAGGATTCAGAAATCAAAGTCAGCCACAAGCCACAGAAGTCAGGCAGCAGTCAGAAGCTAGGAGGTGGTGATACACACTGTTAATCCTAGGACTCAGGATTAAGAGGTATAAGGATCTCTCTGAGTTTAAGGCCACCCAAGATACACAAGATTGAATCAGTCTAAAAGAATAACAGAGCTCACGCCTTCAATCCCCACCCTAGAAATTTATAAAAGATAGAAGCAGGGTCTTCAGTAGTCAGGATCAGGCATTCATTCTCCAGCCCCAGCCCTGTTAGAGGTAAGAGCTCTCTGGTAGCTTGGCTGCTTTGTTTCCCTGTTCTTCAGTTTAAACCCCCAATATCAGTCTCTGGGTCATTTATTTATGCAATTGTTATTGTTACATTTTGGTAGTGAGCTTGGGACTTTAATATGTGGCAGGGAAGTCTACAATTTTGCCTGCATACCCTCTTCCTTAATTTTTGAGGCAGGGTCTCTCCCTGAACATTAAGCTTACTGCCTGGGTTAATCAGGCTGACAAGTGAGACCCATGATATTTCTGTCTGTTCCCCAGTACTGACAACACACACATAGCTACAGCTAGTTTTTAAGTGGGTGCTGGGGATTTGAACTCAGGTGTTGTAAGCTCTCTTCACTAAGCCTTCTTCACAGCTCAGACCTAAGCTGTGGATTGTGTGAGCCACGTAGGTTCCCAATCTTGAGGAAGGAAGTGGAGAGTGTGGGGGTAGGGAGTTAGGGGGTAGGAAGGGGCGTGTCTCTAACCTCAGCTTCTCCAGCTCCTGGTTCAACTTCTCGACTCTGCCTGCAATTTCACAGAGAGGGCTAGTCAGCAAAGCCAGTGTGAGTGGTCAGCAAGGGGGAGACAGCAGAGGAGGGCAGGGACAGGGAGAGCACCCCAAAGTAACAGCTGGAAGACCAAGGCCGAGGATGGCGGGAGCCAGGGTGGGGGCATGGGGGGAGGGGAGATCAGAGGAAAGGCCAGCCTGAGGCCCCTCTGTAGGGCTGTAGAAGGGCCAGTGAGACCTTTCCGTGATCCACCAATGTTCAAGAATGCTGATTTAAGCAGATGGCCCATAGCTCTGAGGCCCCCTCACTCTGGGCCACCGCCTCTCCCCAGTTCCCAACCTGGAGGCCTGCTCTATTCTCTCTTAGTCCCCTGTACTCCCCCACTCCACCCCTTCTCACTCTCAAGCTCCTGGATGTGGGCTTGCTGCTCCTGGATCTGAGCCTGCTGCTCCTGGACCTGAGATGCCTTCTTCTCCAGGGAATCTTGAAGGGTCACCTGAGTCAGAAAATCGGCAGAAGCACAGGTTGGCTTTGTCTTGGAAATTTTCCAGGCCAAATCATCAGGAGGCCTTCTTACCCGCCCCAAATAAAAAACCCCACAAAAATGCCCTTTAGGTTCCCCTTTAGCACCCTCCTCTACCCAGTCCTACCAATAAACGTGCCATCTCCAAAATGGCAGTTTTAAGCACCCCCCACCACGGGAGTTTGAAAGCTCTTCATAACCAAACCCTATTCGAAAGTTCCAGATGTTCTGCGGCTCATACAGATTTAGCAAGTCCTTCCCAAACACAACACCACGGGACTTCCCGGCCAAGGTCCCTAAGAAATGCATTCAAAGTTTCAGTAACACATGTCTTTAGTTCCAGCACTCGAGACGCAGGCTCTGTGCATTCGAGGACATCCTGATCTACTGAGTGACTTCCAGGACAGCCTGAGCTACATAGCGAGACTCTGTCTCAAAAAAAAATAAAAAAGTTTCAATCATCAGAGCTGAGTGAAATCCCCAGGAAGCCCCAATACTGGTCCCCTAAGCCACTTTCAAGCTAACTTCAGCACCCTGCACAAAATTTGGAGACCCCTCCAAGTCCTGGAGTTGATTTCGGAGTTGTAGGGAGTTCTAAGGTCTCTCTGGATAAAGCCCCTTCCCCCGAGTCACTTGGAGCCTTGGAGGGGATGTTTCCAGCCTTACCACGGTCTGGTTGCAGGTGCCTGCCTGTGCCTCTGCCTGTACCAGGTTATCCTGGGCGCGGGTGAGCTGATGCTGCAGCAGGTGTGTGGTGTTGTGGCACTCTTCCTGCATCCGCAGTCCGTCCCAGCAGGCCTCGCTGTTCGCCCTGAGGGCGAAGATGATGAGCAAGATAACCAAGACCGCTTGAATCAGGACCGCCAAGGCTGCGGCCACCAGCCACCGCCGGCGGTTGTCCAGTCCCTGCTCCTTCTCCATGGGCACTGGCAGATGGTGGTAGAAAGTGGGTGCCATGTGGTTTCCCGAGCCCAGACCTCCAGAAGACTCTGGAACTCTCTCGAGGTCACTCCCCTCCTTAGCATAAGTCCCCGCTTCTAGCCAATAGTAACTAGAGTCCCTAGGGGCAGTCCCAGAGCAGTCCTGGTGCTATCTGCTAGTTTCCTGGGAAAGACAGCCTTTCGGTTTCATTTTCCTGGAAAGGGAGGCTTTCCTCTCGGCCGTGTTGAGCAGAGGCTTGCAGCAGAATCACCCTGGAAGGAAAAAAAAAAAAAAAAAAAAAAAAGCAAAACAAAACAAAAAAAACATTTGGTCCTCCTCCCTGTCCAGTCATCGGTTGCCTGGCGCCTGTGCGCTTGAGACTTATCTGAATTATGGCTATCCATAATAGTTGTTGCTTTGGTCTTCAGGTAAGGAAACTGAAGTTGCAAGGTTGAGTAGACTGAAGGGCAAAGGCCAGGGTTTGTGGTCAGCGGTCTCCGTGGTGCCGGAAGGACCATGGACCTATGGTGTTTGTGACTAGAGGATGCACAGCAGGAAACCAAGGCAGGCCAGGGAGGGGAGACCCATGCTGCACCTCCCCATTTGGCCGGGGCCAACAAGAAGGCTCTTGTCCTGGCACTGGCAGCACCCTCGCAGCGACACTGGCACCCATACAGCAAGCTCTCTGCAAATGGGAATAGGAAGGGCCATCTTTTCTAGAGGGTCACTGAAGAGACAGAAGTGTTTCAGTATGCAGCAGGCCACTCAATGGCAACCCTGTAGTGGTTGGTGGGGGAAGGGAAAGATGACCACACAGAATACCATGAATCACTGCCTGGTGCTTAGGGCCCTGTTTTGAAGAAAGATGATGAGTACCATTCAGAACATGCAGAGCAGCACAGAGCCAGAGAGGGGCCTGGAGTATTGCTGCACACCTGCTATCCCAGCACTCAGGAGGACAGGAGTTCAAGGTCAGCCTCAGCTTTATGGTAATTCCAGTCTAGATGGGGCTACATGAGACCCTGCTTTAGACATATACCTCTGCCCCCTTCCACACCTCCAAAAACAAAAACCAAATCACAAAGGGGACATCAGGAGAGAGGCCCTTCTCTTGGGGGTTGGAAGGAACTTCCTGTCTGTCTGGCCAAGGGAGGCAGATTTTAACAGGCCTGGTTGCAGGCACTACTCTGACAACTGGAGGGACTGTACATTTTTTTCAGATTTCCATCCATAACCTGATTACAACACAAATTTGGCTCAATGGGTCATTTTCAAATATTTGTTACCTTCGGGAGCCAAGGTTGGGGCCCTGGCTCCTCTGGAAGGACTTATGGGTACCTGAGGCAGCAGACCTCCATCTGCCCTCTATCTGGAAGCTCCCTTTATGGCTACTCCACCTCCAACAAGTGCATCATGTGTGTGGCCCTGCTTCACATCCCCAGAGGATGCAAGTAGGGGTTGTGGCCCTTGAGATCGACAAAGCTTATTTACTGGGGCAGCAACCATCATTCCGGCCATACAGACAGTCTATGATCCTGCCAGAGACACAGTGTGGTGTGGGGATTCCCTTGAAGGATTCACAGGAGGCAGGGAAAACTGATCAGGGTGAGGTAAGAATGAAACTCGGGTCAACCCGATCTTATTGTAACTAGTACTGGACTTCTAGAATCTGGTCCAGATCATTTTACTTCAGCCATATGTAAACACAGCACAATTTTGGGAAAAAGTATTCAGATAATAATTAACTCAGTCCCAAATGCACAGCACATGTTTGCATTGTGGATCTTTGCAAAGTACATCTGGCTTCATCCATAGGGTGGGTTCTTGTTGACTCAGAAACAATGCTCAAAATTAGGGTCTAGGGACAATGACTGAGGTAAACATAGAAGTCACTTAGGCTGTTGGAAAGCACAGGTGACCTCACTCATAAGAATGGGTTTTATGGCCTAAAAGCGATGCTCAAGGTTCTAAGGGGAAAAAATATTGTCTGGAACTAATAAATTCTGGGAGACACTGGCAGAGCCATTTTCATCAGACAGCAAAAGATATAAAGGCAAAAGTGTATAGAACTCGCTCCAGAGGTCATTTTGCAACCCATTCTCTCTTCCTCCATGGATTTGGATTTTATTAAAGCCTCACTCTGCTACTGCAAAAAATGTGGCCTCAGCATATTTTGATGGCTTAAACTGGTATGCTCAATTTTCAATGATGGCAGCTTGTGCCACTGCACAGACAAATGATCTGAAAATCTTTTATAGCACATCCTGCCTGTTGTCAGGGTGTGGGGTCAGCATAATGCCTGAATCATTACACTAATATCACACCTTTTTGATGATATTGATCCCACCTCCCTGGCATACCATCCCTTTTTTCAGACCTTAACCTCTGTATATGAGCTATTAAGTGTTGTTCTTTAGTTACAGTTATAATAATAAAAGCTGGAGAAGGGGGTGGGGGGGTGGTCCCGGGTGAGAGCCCCAAGTGAGTGGAGTCCCAAGGTAAAGGACCATGTGGGAGAGCATAGCAGGTTCCATAGCAGGTGAGGGTGACTGAGGTGGAGGGAATAACATGCCAGGCAGATAGAGCTTAAATGAGGAGTTTATTTAGAAAAGCAAAATGAAGGAGAAGGGAAGAGACATAGGAATGGGTGGGGGGGTTGGGCAGGGAGAAGAAAAGGCTAGCTGATGGTCAACCAAAAGCAGGAGAGAGAGAGAGGAAGAGAGAGGGGGGGCACACTTGCTTTAAAAGGGAAACTGAGTCCACTACGCAGCCCTGTTATAAGTGACATAGCAATGATATGGCCATGCATGTTCTGCCCATCATCAGGGGGCAGGGTCAGCAGACTGCTGGTTTCCAACATTAAGTAACTAATTAAAATTAAATAATACCCTGCCTGACTGCTTTGGAGAATGCTGGCTGTGTGCTACTGAAAGACCCCCATTATGCATATTGCCTGTTTGAGCTGCTCTTGCTAACTTGCCAAGGTCAAGTTATGGGAAAGTACAGGAGGGAATCAGATGTTCCTCTCCTCTGACGCCTACCAGATATCTGTGGTCTGCAGCTTGGACCAAAGCAAGGTCAGCAGGATGATATCTGGGAACAGAAGGTCCTGGGAGCATTCTATCGAGACCACCAGAGTGCTGAGATAGTCATAACTGAATTCTTTGTATTCTTTGTGCCCAACCCGAATAAGCAACTCTGTCCTTGGTTGACCCCAATTGCCTTAACTGAATGGACCAATGAAATCCCTGTAACCATGCTTCTGCTTCTGTAAGCCTGCTTCTTGCCACCCCAACCCTATATAAACTGCATATGCTTTAACCATGCATGCTCTCTCAGTCTCCTGAAAGACTGAAGCGTCCACAGGTACCTGTGTGTAAACATTAAACAGCCTCTTGCACTTGCATCCAGTGGTCTGGTCTCGTCTCTTGGGGCAAGGGCCTCTGCTGCCAGACTCTGAACTCTTGGGGTCTTTCACTACTTATGGGTCAAACTCATGGCTTCACCCATTGTCTTATTAGACTCTCTTTCCTGCCTCCTATTTATTGTTCTAAGCCAAATATCAAGACAACCCCTCATCTCTCCCACATCTTCATTATCACAGATTGCAACTGTAAGCTTTTTAATGGCTCAGATGGGATGGGATGGATTCTGGCACTTGGGAGCCAAAGAATACTGAGTGTTACAGCTCAGATGGAAAGATATTCTGGCACTCAGTGAACCAAGGAATACCACAGTGACAGTAAATGTAGCAGCTTACAGCCCTGCGTCAGGGAAAGGCTTTCCCAATGTATCAGCTCTGTTCCAGCAAAGGAAGGCTTCCCCAGCCAAATTGTTACATTTGCTAGAAGAAAGTTTCCCCTGTGAAAAGTGTTACAGTCCTTCTAGGCCTGCTCAGCTCTCGAGGCTTTTTCAGCTCTGGTCTACAAGAGCTAGTTCCAGGACAATCTCCAAATCCACAGAGAAACCCTGTCTTGAAAAAACAAAAAAAAACAAAAAACAAAAAAACAAAAACAAAACAAAACAAAACAAAAACCAAAAAACAAAAATAAAACTTGGGCCCTAAATCTGTACAGAGAAAGAGAACTCCTAATGGTAAAGGGAAAAAAAAAAAAAAACTTAAATCAGGAGTACCATGGCTGGTGCCTGAGCCCCCTCTCAGAAGGGGAGGTGACTGTCCACCACTTATGTCAACATTCCTATATCTGATAATTGCTGGTCATAAAGGTCCCCTGATGGTTGTAAAAATCCCTCATGCCAGGGGATAACAGAAGACCCTGTGACCCTGTAATCCTGCAACTCCATGTCCTGTCTTATCTTACTCAAATGTATTTTGCTTAAAATATATAGTTACTTGTAAGGAGTAAGGTTTTTCCTCCCACTGCCTGGTCTTGTCCCGCTGTCCCGCGCCAGCCCCAATTAATACACTGAGACTTTGTATTTGATATAATTCTGTTGGCCAGTTACTAGTTTCTTATCGGCTAGCTCTGTCTTAAGTATTAACCATTTCTGCTAATCTATGTATTTCCACATGGTCTCCTCTTACCCTCGGAGAGCCTTCTGGCGTCCAGCTCTCTCCAGACTCTCCATCTTGACTCCTTCCTACTTCCTCTTTCCTCCTTGTCTCCTAGTCCCTCTTATCTTCCTTTCCTATTGGCCAACAGTGCTTTATTCATTAACCAGTATGAGAAACATATACAGAATGACATCTCCCATCATCTCCTCTTTTCTGTCTAAAATAAAAAGAAGGGTTTTAACCTTAACATGGCAAAATATATAACACAACAGTTATCAAATAAGAATCACAGTTAACAATATTTAGTCCATTAACATTTAGCAAGATTTGAAGAAAATATTCCACCATCTATCCTATCTTTGTGTGTCTAAAGTAACTTATCTTTAATCCTAACTAAGGAAAACTATAATCATAACTATTTGTCTTCAACTCCCTCAAAGACCACAGAAGGATAATATATAAATTCTAGAAATGACAGAGACAACTCACTGCCTTGTCAGTCACCTGAAGTTCTTCTGTAATCTTTCATCTTTAGCCCATAGGCCATAGAGTGTCTACCAGACTCTTCAGCAAAGTAGGAAACTTTAAACTGTCTTCTTGTATTGGCAGTTTGTCAATCATTTTTCTCTGTGTCCTGCATATTGTCTGACAGACTCTTCCATGAAGCAGGAACTCTATAG